TGAGGAACCACAGCTAGAACTAGCCTCCGTTGGCCTGGGGGCATTCTTTACCTGACATCCCTTCAGTGGAGTTGGGTGTCACAATGTATAGGGAGGAGGCCTCCCGAAGCAGCACTGGGACATGGATCCTAGTTGCTGCAGGGTGAGTTCTGCTGGGCACCTGCAATATTGACCTGGGATTCCACAAGCCTCTTTACTGCCTGTGGCTTCAGGGAGCTGCAGCCCTGGAGGTGGCCCAGTGAGGCCCCATGCTCCTCCCTGCACTCAAAACCAGGGGCTGCATATCTTATTGTTGCTTCCTATGTCAGAGCTTATTCCAGCATAGGGAAACCTTGCTAGTGCAGCCCCAGAGGGGCAGCATAACCTAGGGCAGCATGGTACAGAAACCATTGTTTGTGTACAATGGCCTGCTGCCACTGCCAGCCTCTGCTGGCACTCTGAGCCCCAGTAGGGCCACTTGTGGGGGGTGGTAAGATGCCTGCCATCCACTGCCAGTTGTACTGCCTATAAACAGCATGCTTCTGGGACCTGGCACTGGAGCCCTGAGGTGGAGGGGCTCTGGTACTCACACCTGGCGAACCAGACCTGAGGTGGGTCTCTGTAGCCATCCTGCAGCTTCCTGCTGCTGCTGCTGCTGGAGCCTTGGGGCTCTGGTAATCAAACCATGCTTGCACTGAGGGAGGTGCTGCCCACCGGCAGCCTGCTCTTGTGGCATGTGGGAACTCCCACCACTGCTGCTGCTTTCAGGGCAGTGCACACCAGCTACTGCCTAAACACGCTGCAGGGCGGGAAACCACTGCTGCCACTTAGCCTCCAAGTGCCACCACCCAGGCAGTGGGCCATGGCAAAGCTGGTCATGCTGTATGGCTTGTGCTTCAGGGTTCCAGTTTCACGTGGATGTAAAGAAATAATTAAGTTTGATGTAGTCCTATTAATTTTTGCTACTGTTGCCTGTGCTTTTGGTCTTCTGGCTTAGAAATCATGAATCTAATGACATGAGGCTATTTTCTTTTAGGAGCTTTAGATTTTCAATTTAAAAAATTTACTCATTTTGAAGTTTTGAATGTGGCATAAGATAAGCATCCAACTTAATTCTTTTGCACGTAGATATCCAGTTTCCCCAGCATCATTATTTTCAAGAGACGATCCTTTCCCCATTGTTTGGTCTTGGCACCCTTGTCAGACATCATTTGACCATATATGTGAGGGCTTATTTCTGGGCTCTGTATTCTATTTCACTGATCTTTATGTCAGTAACAGGTTGGTTTGATTACTGTAGTTCTATAATATGTTTTGAAATCAGGAAATGTGATACCTCCAACTTTTTCTTGATTACTCAACTCTTTGGGTTCCATGAGATTCAGTATAAGGGCTCTCATGATGGCTTTTTCTGTTGGAAAATTATGCTGTTGGAGTTTTGATAGCTATTGTGTTAAGTCTATAAATCACTTTGGGTAATTTTGACATCTTAATGATATTAAATCTTCCAGTCCATGAATACAGAATGCCTTATTTGTGTCTTCTCTAATTTCTTTCAACAGCGCTTTGTCATTTTCAGAGTACAAGTCTTAAACTTCCTTGATAGGTTTATTACTAATTAATATATTATTTTTGATACTCTTGCAAGTGGAATTGTTTTCTTAATTTTGTTTTGGATTGTTCATTGTTAGTGTATAGAAACAGTTGACTTTTGGGTGTTGGTTTTGCCTCCTACAACTTTACTTAATTCATTCTAATAGTATTTTTGGGGTTTTCAATGTATAAGATCATGTTGTCTGCAAGTAGAGATAATTTTACTTCTTTTACAGTTTGAATACCTTTTATTTCCTTTTCTTGGCTAATTTCTCTGGGTAGCACATTGAATATATTTTGAATAAAAATGGTGAAAATGGGCATCCTTCTCTTGTTCCTGATTGTGGAGGAAAGGTTGTTAGTTTTTCACCAGTGAGTATGGACTCCTGCAGACCTAGTGCGCTTTATGGTGACCAACGCAAGAAAAATTACTTTGGGCTGGTCAACCACAGGTGAAGCTTGGAAACCACGTTGGGCGCCAGCTGTTATAGGGCAGCCCCGATATTGAACGGGTTGCCTGGCTGTGGGTCCTCACCCGCGTGCTTAAAAAGGACTTATTAATACTCCACTATAGGCATACACAAAAGGTTAATAAAAGGTTTATTTACAAGGGAAAAGGAAATAAGGAAAATGTGCAACTCAGGGAGAAAATAGGGAAATAAAGTCTTTAATGCGTCCTACCCGATCCGCCGACCTGGAAACCCAAAGGCACTCTCAGAGCTGGCCAGACGCTGTTAGCTGGCGGAGAGCCAAAATGGGGGACCCCTCCAAAGCCCACGTGTCTGCCTTATATCAATCTGGCTGCTTAACCCCACCCTCAGGTCCCAGCCACCTTCCCTTTGGTGGGGATGGGATTTGGAGTTCCCAGTGTCTTTGGCTTTGGCCTGGGGTGGGGGTGGAATCCACAAAGCCTGTGTGGAATTAGCTTTAGGACATCCCTTTCCCCCTAACAAGTATGATATTAGCTGTGTGCTTTCCATTGTATGGCTTTTATTATATTAAGGTTTCCTTTTATTCCTAATTTGATGAGTGTTTTTATCTTTTCTAATGCCTTTTCTATATCAATTGAGATGATCATATAATATTTTTTGTCCTTGATTTTGTTAGTATTTTGTATCATATTGGTTGTTATTCATAGGTCCTTGTATCCCAGGAAGATATCCCACTTAGTCATGGTGTTTAATCCTTTTAGTATACTTTAAAATTTCATCTACCCCCCTCATTGTTCTGATTATTTTTTAAGACAAATACCAGACATAAGAAGTAAATAAATAAACAAACAGGTAAACATATTGTTATAGGGCAGCCCCGATACAAAACGGGTTGCCTGACTGTGGGTCCTCATCCGCACGCTTAAAAGGACTTATCAATACTCTTCTGCAGGCACACAGGGAAGGTTAATAAAAGGTTTATTTACAAGGGAAGGGCAAATGAGGAAATGTACAACTCAGGGAGAAAAGTGGGAGACAAAGTTTTAAATGCGTCCTACCTGATCCGCCGATCTGGAATCCCAAATGGCACTCTGAAAGCTGGCTGCGAGCCAGGAGCCATGAAGCCAGGAGGCGAGCCAGAGAGCGAGCCCGAGAGCGAGCCCCCCAAGGCCCATGTGTCTGGTTTTATACCCAACCTGACTGCTTAACTCCACCCTCAGGTCCCAGCCACCTTCCCTTTGGTGGTGACGGGATTTGTCTTTCCTGATGTCTTGATGGCTTTGGTCTGGAGTGGGGGTGGGGTCCACAAAGCCTGCATGGAATTAGCTCAGGACATACTTTCCCCCTAACAATATCATTAATGGTAGATACTAATAAGCATTATGAAGAAAAGTAAAACTGAGCAGAAAGATAAAGGGCAGCAGGCTGGGTGGGCTTGGGGCTGCTTAAATATTGAGGTTTGAGAAGCCTTCTGGGGAAGTGACTTGAAAAGAACCTGAGGGAAGATGAAGGAAGAATCTTTAAATACACAGGTTATAGCAAAGGTGGGAATTTGCTGGGAGCTCGTGGGAAATAGTTGGAAGGGAGGGTGAGGAGTGAAAGAGGAGATTAAGAAGGGGTCTGGGGAAGCTCAGGAAAGTAGTACAAGAGGTCGCACAAAATTGTCTCCTGAGCCTCAGCAAGGACAGCTCCTTATATGGCTATTATAACTCATAGGTTTCTCCCTTTCATTTGATTTCCTTTGCCATTGCTGTCCTATTTCGAGAAAGAATGCACTTGCTTTGTTAACCAAAGGACAGGCTTGAGTTCTACCCCAGATTTCCTCTGAAGAAGGGTAAAATAGAGTGGGTGGAGTCTCCGGGTCCAGCCAAGAATCCATTGTGATGTCGAATGTGCTTGGGAGAAAATCATTGTTTCAAAAATAATACATTGTGGTGTCGGACCTTATGTACCTTAGAATATGGGCCTAATATTTTAAATGTAAGTAGTACGAAGCAGATTTCTTAATGAAATTCATACCAGAATTTTCAACTGGCAGCGTGCTCTGTAAACACTTATGCTGAAATATTTTGCATTCCCATGAAACAGTTTTCCCAAGTCTGTCTTTTTGGAGGAAGTGCATATTGTTCTCATGTTATTGTGGTAACTAGAAGGTAGAAAATACCCTCAGTTGTGGATGTTTGTTATAGGCTTTGATGATGTAAGTTGATACAACTATGTTAAACATCATAGTGCAGAGAAATTGTTTTGTCCCCAAGTGGAGTTTTATTTACAATCTAGTTCAGTGTTTAATGTGCGTTTGCCTTCATTAGTATTAAATCAGTTTTTTTTAAATCCCTTAATCTAGGTAATTTGGTTTTCCACTGATAAAATATTTACTTGTCATATCAGCAGGGTGCTAAACTTGGAAATTAAGAGTACCGAGTTAAATTTAAAATTTGTTGAAAAGTATTCATCAGAAGGTAGTCTATTTAGTGTCTTGGCGGTGCCTCTGGCTCTTCTCACTTAACATGTTAGGAGACAGGCTGGCAGCACTTGTAAACTGAAACCTGCTTGTATGCAGAACCAGACTGATATGAGTACACAGGAAAATGGAGAAAATTTGAGTGTTACCCTGTGTGTGTGTTGGGGTGGGGGTGGAGAGTGGAGGTGGTGGGGTGGTTCCTTAAGTAAAAGTGTGACACATTTGCTTAAAATAAATTTTGATATTCTGGCCATCAAGGCTATTATAACTTCTTGATAGTTGATCCTAAACTGGTTTTAAATATTGCTTTGTGGAATAACCAAATTTGTCTCTTAACGATATTGCCGAGTCACATGAGTTGTTTTGCTATAATAAGCATGTTTTACGATATGTTTGAGTCATTTGCCCCAATAGACCTGAAATTTATTACTCAGCAGAGAAGCATGCATTTACAGTATATTCTTAGCTGCTCCTTTCTTCCACTCAGCTGCCAAATCCTATGGAATCTAATTAGAACCTGGCCAATGGGCGGCCGTCTGCACGCTGTTTACAGGGCGATCAGGGTAGACAGTTTTATCTTGTGCCGCAGTGTCTGTGCCGCAGTGTTGAGGCGGCAGGCAGGATGCAGAGTGCTGTTTGAGTTTTCTGTGGAGTCCCTGGGAGGGACAGCTTTGAAAGACAGTTTCTAAAGAACGAGAAATAGGAGGAGTTCAGTACCTGACTTGGGGCTGTTCGTAATCAAGTGCTGCACAGCAGGGAAGATCATTTTCAAGCGTTATGAAGTCGGAGAAAGATCCTGAAGACGAAGAAAATATCCTTAAAGATCCCAGCTAAGTGTAGCACAGCATGAAGATTGCAGAGCAGGAAGATTTGGAGAGAGACCACTCACTTGTTAGGCGTGTGTTGGAGGCTTGCTTTGTGAGCTGCAGGGATTTGTAACTTAATGCGGAGTAGTTTGCTGTTAGCAACAAGAAACTAAATCCTGTCTAGGATGAACTGTTGGTTTTCTTGTGCTCCTATGAACGGAGTAGGTATCCCTGCAGTCCAGTGTAACAAAAGATTTTCCATTAGGCTGTTTGAATTGTGTTCTTTTAAAATGCACTACTGCTTTATGAATTTTGATTTCTTTGTTTTATTTTATCCTTTCTGAATTAGTTGATAAGCAAATTGGGGTTAGTGAAAGAAAATAAAAGTTCTTGTTTCTTTTTCTGGGTTTAAAAGTCACATGATAGAATCTTAATAATTGAACAGTATTTCTGTTAACTGACAGTGGGCCAAAATGGAAAATGATGTTTGGTGTCCCAGAACTGAAAATCACATGCTAATGTGAGATTTTAATCATATTTACTAATTTTCCCCAAACCCATACTTTTAGATTTTACACTTTTTAGAGTCTTGAATAGCTCCTTTTCTCTATCAGCAAGTTTACTTGCAAAGAAAGTTGAGGTTGTTTTAATTACAAGGGTTAACTAATCAATGTAGAGCAAGTATTTATGTGCTAAACATGACTTAATCCCTTTGGCATTTGAAAACACGGTCTTCTAAGCCTACATCTACTACCACTCCCAATTTCAAAGTCAGTAATCTGTTGTTTTGTTTTAAAGCTAAAGAAAGGAGATGCCTAAAATGTAGTTTCCACTCATTAAGTAGGGCTAGTCTCTACTCAAAATTGGTAGTTTATGGTTCATCTCCAAATTTGCCTAATTTAGAGATAACTCTGAAGTTTGTATAGGTATTTGAACCAGATTCCATTAATATATTAAATTCCAGGAATGAGTAAAAATTTTAATGTTTTTATCTTTTTCATGTTCAATTTTTATATTCATTCTTCACTTCAATTTTTAATGAATATACTGCTTATCTGGTGATGGTCATTTTGGGGGTATTGGAATAGTAGGTATCATATGGATCAAACATGTAGAGGATTTGTTTTGTGTAAGTGGTGTATTTTTATTTTTATTTCTAGAGATTTGTTTATTTATGGACATAGGGTTGGTTTTGTAAGTTAAGTGAAAAAGTCTTTTTTTTTTTTTTTTGATGTAGAAATTATATTGGACTCAGCACAGAACTTAATATATTTGCCATAAATTACTTTAAAAGAGTAAAACCTTACTTGTTTAAATATTGGTTTCCTCCACTATCTGAAAGTAGAACATTTCTATTTGGTGTGACTTGGTAGGCTATTTTGAGGGTCTGGGAATGCTACTACCATTAATGTATATGGAAAATTTTTGAACATTCCTAGACCCCTCCCCCCCCCAGAAAAACCTACCAAACCATACCAGATAGGAACATTCTTCTTCAGAATAGTGGGGGAACCTATGATGTGTATTTTAAGTTTTCTGAACTGTTGCAGGTTCTGACATTTCTGCTTACTATGAAAAGATCTAAGTTATTAGTATTTTATGTTGTTTTGAACATATTTTCTCCAATTGAAGCTAAAGATAACTTTGATACAATTAAAATGTATATCATGCAGTAAATTCTTCTATTTAAAAAATTAGTTTAGTCCTTTCATATGCATATACATTGTTTTTATTAAATTAAAAATCTTTAAACTAAAGTAGTCAATGTTGACTCTATAAAACAAGGAAGAAGATGAAAGTGATCTGTAGTCCTACTAGGATTTTTAGTAGGTTTTTGTTTTTGTTTTTTTTTTTAGTTCTTTCTGTGTAGGACTTTCATTTTATTCTTATAGGATAATGAATTGCTTCCTGAAGTGTGTGTGTGCATGTGTGTGCGTAACTTACCTCCATAAACTTATCTCCAACAATGTCTTTTAAAAAACTGCAGGGCTAGGAATGGGAGTATTTCTACATCTAAGGATCTTGGGCTGTGATCACAGCCAAATCTGAAAAAGTTATTTGGAGAATAGGATAAGCCCAGTGATTTCAGAAATCATGAGAAGTCATGTTTGGTCTTGGCCACCTAGGTCATTTGGTGTCTCTGGAACCTCGTCTTCTCATGTGTTAAGTGGGGACAATAAGTTTAGCTCACTAGGGTTATTTTAGTAATTCATGCCTGGCACTACAATAATTTCCTTTCTTTGCTCTGAAGGCAAAGAAACCAGTCAAGAACATGAGAAATGTACTTTTTCTCGAGCATCATTTAAAATTATTTCTTATAGACCATGTATTTTGGACACATTTTCTAACTCTGCTCTTCTCTGGAAGTTAACATAGTAGGTGCAAGGGAATTTGGGATGCAATAAGAAATGGAATGATGTATCATGTGCTGCTGCTTTCCCTTTAGAAAGTCTTTCTAGTGTAGTATATGTGGTATGCCATGTTTACTTTTTCTTTTTCTTTTTCTTTTTCTAGCATGCAACAGATTGGAACAAGTATGATGACCGACTGATGAAAGCAGCAGAAAGGGGAGATGCAGAAAAAGTGTCCTCAATACTTGCTAAAAAGGGAGTCAATCCAGGCAAACTAGATGTGGAAGGCAGATCTGCGTAAGTATTACTGATGATTCCCTAAAGGGAATTTGGGTTGAGCCTTGGGATGTAAATGAAATTTGCAAATTCTGGTTATCAACTTTTTAATTAAAAAAATCTTTACCAAAACCCATGGTTTTGAAACATCACTTTCAAACATTATGCACTAATAGCTGTACCCAATGTGAAAGATTTTCAAGATATAGAGAGAAAGCTTAAATGCTCCCCAGTTGTCTAGTTGTTTAGACTCCATAACAAACCACAGGATTTGGGTTATTTGGAACATTTTTGTCTATAAGCCTTTTCTTATTCCTTATCATATTTAAACCTTGCAGTGACCCTCTAAAGGAACTAGGAAGAGGCTTACAGAGGTTAAGTAACTAGGTCTAATCTCATGAAGAACTACAAGTTTTCTTTCTTGATCTTTTCTTTCAACCTCCAATTCTTTTTTGTGGGTAATTTGCTTAAATGAGAATGTGAGAGCAGAAAGGGAGACGAATAACTGGTTTGGCGAATAACAGGTAGTCATCCTACTTGTGTTTGTGTTACTGAGCTTTGTCTATATGCTTATGAACTGTCTATCTTTTCCGCAGTCCTGTTGAGAGTGCTGCTGGTACTCCTTTCTATAATTATAGCACGTAAAACCTCATCTGGGAAACTCTCCAAAGTTAGAGAGAAATCTCATTTTCCTAAAATTCTCATTTGGTGAAAAATCTCATTTCCTAAAATTCTTTTCAGTCTTATACTTGCATGGCATGAGTTTATTTAGAATATTCTAGCTGTAAAACAGATACTAAATATAGAAATGAATATTAGGAAATGAATAGTTAATGTTTGACCAGTATTACTAGTATGTTTGCTTAGATATTTCAGTAGAGTAAAAATAGTTAAAGCATGATTTTAAAATTAAGTAGCTTGAAAAAGCAATAAAATTGGAAAAGTTCTAAGTTTTTATGTAGTTTCAATTTTATCAAGTAGGTAACTGGTTATTTTGAGTCCTGTCCACCCTTTTTTTTTTTTTGCTAAATTTTAAGTTATTTATAAGGTTCATGATATCAACAGTGAAAATATAATATCCCAAAGCGACAATTTTTCATGATTCTTTTCCTTTTAAATGCCAAGATGTTAGAAGATAAAGAGAAACTTTGGGATGAGGATCTTCGGGGAGACTTGTTTCTTGAGTCCTGCCCATCCATGCTTTGAATGAATGTTTGACTTTTAGAATTTTTTTGCTCTAAGGTTCAATTTTGAATGAAATAATTTGTATCAATGGTCAGAGTTCTGAAAATTTGGTATAATTTTAATATATCAAGTGCATAAAACTATGAAATTTAGTTTGTCAACCGTATGAATAGTTTTTTGAAGTTTTCGCTGGAAATAGAATTCTTTTTGAGATTCATAAGATAAAACATTTTCCTTTGTTATATAAACTGAATTTCCCTTAATTAAAACATATTTAGTGAAGTAAGGGACATGTTACAAATACGCCTCCTATATTATTTACAAGTACAAAACAATTTTATTTTTAATTTCTTTTTTGGTTTTTAATTTGAAATTTAAAACAAAAGTAACATGACTTTTTGACCTCAGTCTATTTTCAAAAATGAAATACTGATCTTTGCAAGTTTTCTTCCTGTTCACCTCTCTCCTAGGGTGTATCCCTTTGCCAACCAAAATGGTCAGATTTACCATGAATCTCTTTGCCACTTTGAGAACCCTGCTTTCTAATTCCTGTCTCCCCTCCTCTCCAAACTATCAAAGTGAGCCTTTGTCTTTCCGCTATTTTACCTGGAATTAGATGCTACAGGCAAAAAGTACCCTCACACTCCCAGCTCACCTCTCTGGGTTTCTTGTCCTCCTCTGCATGCTGGCCCAGTAATTTTTCACTGTCTTGTTAGCTCACAGGTGTCTTTAAGAATGTGTCTTATGTTTTATGTGGTCTTTCTAGTTGTCCTTAGAGGTAGTGATTGTCCAAATTTCCTGGATCTCCTTTTTTGGAAGCAGAAATACATTTTTAGTTTAGAAAAAGAATACTTTTTAATTACAATAGAATATTTCTGTAAAGCAGGTCTTCAAATTTTCCTTTACAACTCTTAATCTAGTGATTGATTTATTTACTATCTTTAAGCACATCTACCATTTATAGCACACCAGCATTAATAATGTATTGTGGATTTGTTGTGATTTCTGCCCATGTTATATCACCAATATAATGCTGACTTATTTTGAAGAAAGAAGTCTTCCAAATTTTGTGAGCTATAAAATGAAAACAAGCAAGCCAAAAATGATATAGCTAAAGTTGTTGGGAGTCTAAACACCTTTGCTTAAAGGAAATTTTCATTCCTCAAGAAGTTCTAAGGATACATTTCATGGCATGATTCCCTGCATTAGTGTTTCAGAGTGATTCATTGATACCTTCAGCTTATAGCAATTTGATTCTACTATAAGGAGAACTTCTCTGATTTTTAAGAACACTATATTTCTTTTATCAGAAAGATTTCTTTCTTTCTAATTCAAATTGCTTTACATAGTAGTACTTGGTGTCTTGCTTTTATATCTGCCATAATATTAATAGAGACACGACTAAGTGTTATATAATGAATGGATTTGCAAGCAGTCTCCAAATTTTGTTTCTAAGCATTCAGTTATTCAAGTATTTAAGGACCATCATCTCTTTGGTACTGGGGATAAAATAGGGAGCAAATCAGACAAAAATCCCTGCTTTTGCTGAGTTTATAGTTGAGTGGGAAGAGATTCATAAACTGTAAAGGAAATAAATCTCCAATTTGTGTATTACATTAGAAAATGTGAAATTCTAGATAGAATAATAAAGGCATAAGTGAGAGCACCAGAATTACTAAGGTGTCAGGAAATGGGGAAATAGAAAATAAATGGCATGGTCAGGGAAGACTGCTGCTGGAGGAGTACAGAGTGTGTCTGTACCAGGCACCTTGGCAGCTTGCACCTCCTTTGTCTCCTGGCATCTTCAGAGTGCTTAATCTTGTTTTGGGTCTCCATTCTTCACCAGCCCAAGTTCAGTGTCCTTTGTCATCAAGTCCTGCTTCATTTACTAGTTTCAATTTAATGGAATATAATCTGTGCCAATTCTTATTGCACACAAAATATTGCTGTAAACATTTGTCAGTTAATGAAGTATTAGAGTATCAAATACATAGTGGGGTATTTTGTAATCTTTTATCTTGAATACTAGATAACATAAAGTTAATTTCTGATTCAGGCTTTACTTGCATTATTAGGAAACTTGTTCACTTACACCTTCTAAGTTCTTTGGTTGATAATAATAAATTTGATATAAGACATTAACAAAAGAAACACAAATTTCATGCCTTCTGGAACCCCAAAAACCTGAGATCTGAAGATAGGCAGTTGAGTCTTGAATGCCATCCTGAGCTAATTAGCAGGGAGGGTGGAGATTTGGATATTAAAATTGGGGGTGAGGGTAGAAAATTTATAGGGCGAAGAGCAAGTGTTTGCTATGCTATGCGGAGAAGTTTTTCTGATCACAAGTGATCTTCAGTATTAGCTCTCTTCTGGTGCAGGTCCTCTAACTCAGTTCTTTTAGGCAGTTAAAGGGAAGGTAAATAGCTCTTCCTGGGTCTGCTGGGCATTCATTGTCTTCAGCTGGAAATAATTATTAAGACAATTGAACATTAATATATTCCTTTGGTTTCTAGACAGCATTGGTCCCTTATGTAAATGTGGGTTAAAATGAATTTTTCAGTAATACTGGTTAGATTTCTTTTTTCTTGTATTAAAAATTGTGTGTGTGTGTGTGTGTGTATGTGTGTGTGTGTGTGTTGAATAAAAGGCAACATTAACGTTTAATTGACCTTTGGTACTTTCCATTATATAACGGATTTTTTTTTTTAGCTTCCATGTTGTGGCTTCAAAGGGGAACCTTGAGTGTTTAAATGCCATCCTTTTACATGGAGTTGATATTACATCCTGTGACACTGCAGGTATGTTTGCATGTGGTTAGTTACAAGGTAGAAAGGTTACAAGCATTGTTCACTGCTAGTGTTCTTAATCAGACTTGAAGGATATTTAAAAAGAGAGATCCTTAATTTTCTGCTTTTATATTGTTGAGAAAAGGTTTACTTCTAAAGTATCATTATGGGGGAAAGATCAAGTACAGGTAATTTAGGAGAAAGGATTACTGAACCCACAAGCAGTTGGAGACCTGAAGTGCAGTGACAGGGAGCAACCTACATGGTGCAGCAGACCTCTCCTGACTCGCCCGCTGCTCCCCTCAGCAGTGTACTTCGGTAGATCTGCCTGTTCTGTTCCCCACTCTGTCTCTGGTGAATCCTCTCACCCCCTGCATCTCTGACCTGTACCCCAGCACTTGTATGCATCAATAAATAAATCTTTAAAAAAATAAGTAAAACCATAGACTCTGAAGAACCTTTAGGTGCCACTTAGCTTATATTGACGTATTTGTCAATATATGATAATCTCTGTCATGAAGTCATTCAGTATTTGATTGGACTTTTCTTGTGATGGAGAAAAGCAGCCTCACCATAATGATCACAGCAAGACTGGCTGACACTCCCAGCACGGACATAGCTACCCTGTGGAATGTTCTACTCCTTCTGACTCTCTTTATCCTCATGTCGGCCTCTGGGGCTGTGAGGCACTGACCCCTTTAGTAACTTGCCCTGCGTCCTTCAGTGGCTGAGCAGTGGTCCTAATGATCATACCTCAAGAGAACCCCTTTCTGTGTCTGGTTAACTACTTACAAAAACGTACTTCTTCTAGCAGTTTAAGTAGCTCTTTCTGGGGCTTCTGCTTAAACTTAGTCACATCTGTGTTTGTCTTTTAAAATCTTGCAGCATAAGTTTGTTTGCACATCACAAGATAGATCTTTAAGTATTTGAATATAGCTATTCTTGTTTCTCTGGGACTCTCAAAAGCTTATTTCTCTGCAACTCTGTCTTCTTCAGTGACCACTAAGAGGTGATCTAGAATAGAATTTTCTTAGCAACTTTATTTTATCCTCTGGCTCCATGTATGGCCAAATAATTATGTTGCTGTTAACTAGCATTATGTTCACAAATAGAAGGAAGGAAAGGGGGAGGAGATGTTGCTACTGAATTTTGAGGTAAGGAAAATTTTTTACCTGAAGAGATGTCAAATCTAAATTAAAGATCAAACTCACAACTTTCAACAAACAGAAGGACATGTTATTACTTACGTATCATTCCATCTCTCCATCTCTGTAGAAGAATATTTGTTTCATAAATTTTGAACCAACCATACCTCTTCAGAAGACTTAGGACTTCACTTATTTATGGTGCTGATTCTAATTCAGATTCAGATTATCTTTCTTGTTTTTGTCTGGCTTCTTCCGCCCTGGACATTTTTGCCTATGGCCAATCTGGTGACACTTGCCCTCCCTCCTCCAGTATAGATGAAGCTCAGTGCTTCCCTAAGGCAGCAGCAGACGTGGTCAACTCTGTGACACCCCAGCACACCCTTCCTCATTCTTTTTTGTCTTCTGCTATTGCTGTTGTTCTGTCATGTTTTTCTTTGTTTTTAAATTATGTCTGTCCTTAGAGTTGTCCTTTCCTGAGGACAAGCACCTTGTCTCATTTGCTGTTGTTTTGTATGATAATCTAGATATGGATATTTGATGAACTTTTGGTAAAGAAACTTTATGCATATTAGTCCTTTATTAGCTAGCAGTATGAAAGTATTTTGAAAATAATCAGATTTTAAGTTAATGTAGCTTTGAGGTATTTTTGGCCCAGGTCTTAGCAAGTCTGCACCTTTGGTGTCATTCATGGTGGTTGGCTTTAAATTTGGTGTTTCCTTGACTTTTTGCTACCCTATCTCAAATGACTGGATTTGGAATTTCCTTAGTCCTGACCTGATGGTTTTATGTGACCAAGTTTCTGTGACATTTTCTTGAATACCTGGGACTGTCACCACCATGCTCCCCTCAAGGCCCACCCTGCTCTTCTGTCATTGCTCATGTGGGTGCCTGTTACTCTATTACCTTTCATAGTGTGAAATATTTTTAGGAAAATTGTTGGTGGACAGGAGCAAATTGAAATTTGTAATCATATCTGACTTATTTGTAATTAGAGGATGTCTAGGTGTGGTTGAATAGGTTGTGACTATACCTGTTTATATACCTGTACTCATGCTTTTTGTTCTAGAACCACATGAGTCAGCTATACAGAAGTTATAAAGCCTAGGAAAACTTGTCCACTTATTTAAACGTGTAAAACCGAAAGAGAGTTGAAAGTCAATGTGTTCATTCTTCCTAGATAAGCAGAAAATGAATTGCTTCTTTTCTGGCAGAAAGTTCTACTCATGAAGTCAAATTATGTTTTAAGAAGTTTGTGAAATTAGAGGGAAATTAAGAGCCTTAAAGATTGGAAGCCTGGAGTAGTCTGTGAAGGTGTATGTGTAAGGAGATATGATTAGAAGAAAAAGTGTTTCAAAGTAGAATGTTCGCTGCAAATTTGCCTATTTTTTTTAGTGTTCAACATTGACCTTTCAGATTATCTTATAAATCCTCCCTGCCCACCACCTCCCTTCACCCCTGTTATTTCCTTTAAACCAGAATATTTTAATACACTTTCTATTTGAACAAGTTGTCTGATTTTCAGAGACACAGTCACTTAATGAACTTAGTTGATATATAAATATCAGAGAATTCCCTTTCTTTGACTTAACATCTCTTTACTCTCTATTTTCAGATCTTCATTGCTTATGTGAAATCTGTTTATCTTTCTCTCCCTCTTTCCCCCATGCTTTTTTTCATCTTCTCTCTCCTCCTCCCATCTCCCCTGTGTCAGTATTTAATTAGTGATACTGTCTCAGGCATGAGGTATTGGAGATACAGTGGTAAACAACACAAATTCTTGCTCTTCATGGGTTCGTATGTTGAATTTTTCTTCCCACCTACTTTGTTTTGGTGTGTATACAGTATCTCTTATTAAAATATCAAACTGGGTGAAACATCATAGAACTGAAAATATGCTTACAAATCAGATCTCCTGTCTGCTAATTTTAGAAAAATGAGTCATATCACATGGAAAAATCACATGTGAAGAAAGTAACCCTTCATATATATTTTAAATGATTTCTTTCATAGGGAGAAATGCTCTTCACCTGGCTGCAAAGTATGGGCATGCATTGTGCTTACAGAAACTTCTACAGGTAATAAAAGTGGCAAATACTGAGGTGTTTTTTTTTTTGACTGCAAATAATAGAAGTGTTTTTAATGTGTTTTTGGAATTTGAGATCAAAGAAAATACTAGGTTAACCTTGACTATTAGCTTACACAATAGTTTTTCCATCATTTATGAAAGAATGTGAACAATAAAGAGCAAAAGATCTGAGGGAAGTGAATTGCATAACTCAGTGTATTAAAAATAAATAACAAAGACTTGACCTTCCTGTTGACATTAGCTAGAGCTTGGAATTTTCTGTTGTCTGGTATATGACATAAGATAAAGTGATAAAGCATAGGATCTTTCCCGATACATATGAACATCAGTAACTTAGACTGCATACTATTAACCCCTTCAGTCTATGATCTAGTGGGTTGTATTATGTTTTCAGTGAAAGGGGCAAGTCATATATTACCACAAATATTTTTATTTATGGTGTCTTGCCTCCAACTTTCGTGCAGAACTCATTTGATTTTCTGACTCAGTTGTTCATGTTTTAACTCTTGCTGGAAAGAAAACCCCAATCAATAACATGATTTTTTTACGATTGTCATATGCCAGATGTCTTCCTGTTGGTAAAATACTGTCAAAACATGTTATTATATTTGCTTCACATCAAAATATTTATTGGCTAATATTCTTCAGTTGTTTTTTTAAACATATGGACTATTTTAAGGATAAGTAACATTCATTTGAGTCTTGATATTTAATTATTTTAAAGTAAAAGTCCTAGATCACGAAATTTCTATGTGTTAACAGTACAATTGTCCCACTGAACATATGGACCTGCAGGGAAGAACTGCTCTTCATGATGCAGGTAAGCAAACATTTCAGTTGGTTATAAACATTTGTTAAAATGACACGGCATTAAAAATTAATTTCAAAGTTTTAACATGTATATATCTGTATAATCATGAAGAAACATTGTGGAGCTCCAGGCACTGTGTATATGTTTGGGATTTGGTAGGAGAAATGGGAAGGAGGAAGACTTCTCTTTCTTAAAATCTACATTTTCCTAATTAAGGTGTCTGACTCTCATTTTTCCCATCTGCAAAATGTAATTAATAATTCTATTATAGTAAATGGCTATAAATGAATTATAAGTAGTGCGTGGCATGTAGTGATTTCTTAATTAATGGTGGTGGTGGTGGTTATTTTGATTTAGAGGTGTCAGTGCTGAATTTCATATTATTATAATATGCTTTATTTAAAAAAATCTACTAGTAATCTACAGATTTTATTAATAATCACACTTATGTATTGATTTATCTGCTTTATTCTTGAGGTGTTTTAAAGGAATTACTTAGCAACAAGTTAGATATTAAATATCCTTGGAATCAAAGATAGTCTGACTCTTATAAGTCTGAAATTCCTACATATTACTAGGAGGCTGAAGGAAAGCAGTATATTGAAGTGGTTTGTGGTTAAAAATATTACATTCAAATTCAAACTTTTATAGTTTTATAGTTAGTTTTCATTCTTTTTTTCTGTTTATATTAATATGCTTTCATGATTGTTTAATCTCACACAATGTATTTTTCTTTCATTTGTGTATGGAGTGATAATATTTGCAAAGAACTTTTGTGTACAATGTCATTTGAACTGTATAGTGACCCCTGTGAATTACTATATAGTTTTTTTTATTTGATATTTTATGATAATTTTGTGATGATACTTAAATAAATAAAAACATAAGCCTAGACTTGCTTGTAAAATTATGGAAACATCAAAATAAACTTGCAAGTGACATTTAAAATCACTTAGAAATTCATCTTTGTAGTGCTAATTTACTGTGCTTGATGGAATTTTAAAACTGACTGCTGTCTCTTGAGATATGAATATGTTACATGCTATTTCTATTCCTACTACTTTTTCCATTTTTATAAAATTAATCAGTCCATCTTTATTAATAATTTTGAAAAGTATTTTTATTATGACAAATTCCAAGCATACATAAAGTAGAGAGAACATTGTATTAAAAATACCTTATACTCTTCACCCAGCTCAGACCGTTACTAACTTGCGGCCACCTTGATTCATGAATATCACCCTCATTATACTCCCCTCCACTGGCTTGTTTTCAGTCAGATCCAGACATCATATCATTTATCCATAAATAATTCAGTTTGTATTTCCAAAAGATATTTATTCTATTTTGTAACCTAAGTGTAATACCATTATTATGCTTAATGCATATGAAAATATTTTCAAAGTCATCTAATGGGTGTTCTCTTTTTCCAAGTTATTTATCTTTGTTTCTTATGCCTTATTGAAGTATAACTTATGTATAAAAATTGCACAGAATTATCAGCACAGTATTATGCACTTTAAAATGTATTAAAAAGATGGAACTCATGCTTTACCTCACATGAAAAAACAGTCACAACACATACACAGGAAAGGACACAAGGAAACTTCTGGAGGTAACCCTTATGCTTAGTACCTTGATTGTGGATAGCACCGTGTATGCTTTTGTCCAAACTCATCAAATTGTATGCAGTACTAGTTATGCATTTTTTTTTGGTATGCTATATATGTTTTGTTCCTGTGTTTAAAACTGGAATAATATAACCAATTGACATCTTAACATTTGTTCATTAGGTGTATGGATGAAGTTAGAATGAAGACTAAGTTGATGTAATAAAAGAACTCAAGTATCAGCAGTGGCATAGGTCAGCAGGTCATGCATTCATATCCATGTTTAAGCTAGCAGGAAGAGGCGCGAGAGTCTGGAGGAGCCCAGGCCCAGAGTCTTAGGCCCAGATTTGGAAGTGGCAGATTGCCTTCAACTCACATTCCATTGACGAGAGCAAAGTCAATCAAGTATTTATCTGCAAGGGAGGCTAGAAGTGTAATTTCTAGGTGACTAGTCATGGTCTTGCTGCTAACTGCTGATGAACGGGAGAACAGATTTTGATGGCAAATTGCGTTTTCTGCTATAGCCCAACTTTGGCCGTTCATATATTCCCACAACCCCTACCTCCCACATATTGAAACTATTGCTCCCTCCCTAAGGGAAATGAGATGTAAGCCAATGCAGTTATTACAACTAGTTCAAAGCTCAGGGTGATATGTTTTTTTCTCTTTTTGGCTCTGATGTGTGTTTTCATGATCCAGCAATTTGTAAACTCAAAGAAAAGAGCCCTTTTCTTCACAATACATAGTGATGGAACAAAGCCAAGTTCAGTGAAATAAAAGGGAGAATCTGGAAAATACAGCAGTCACTGGTGCTTAGCAGATACCATATTTGCTGCCTAGCAAATCTTTTGCAGTGACCCCTACTGAAGTCTGGGAGTAAATTTCTTAGTTAGCTTCTCTGGATGCCCCCATTCTGTATTCTAAGAGAGATCCCTGTCCATCATCCTCTGTGGCCCCTACCTCTGCTTTCCGGGAGGTTCTTGTCCATTATCTGCCGAAGCCATAGATAAGGTGGTTGCTGGACAGCATGCATGCTATAGAAGCTGTTTAAGAGCTGAAACAACCATACATTTTTGCCAACTCACTGCTAAGGTCTTGGTAGTACAATTCCCTCAGAACCTTGGGAAGTTTCTGGTCTGTCAGCTGCTTCTGGATGTCAGGAACCATCTCCAAAGTTACTTTCTGGACAGAGTTTCTAACCCTCCTTTATTTCTTGTCTTTATTTCTAGGCTTATGATTCTTTAGCTCATTTTAATGACCCTTGCCTCAAAGCCATCTGAAATAGTTGTCTTGGATAAGAATATAATTTCCTCAACCTGATGTTTAGTCCAGAACTGTTATCTCTTTCTCTTTTTTCCCTTATTAAGAAGTTTTTGGGAAAAGTTGTAAGCAACAGTGGTTTTAGATCCTATCATCTGATAGAGAAACAGTTGACTTCCCCCAAGCTTCCAACTACCTCAGCATTATTCCCTTCCTTCTCTCTTCCTTGATGGAGCCATTCCTGTTTAACCTCTTCCTTTTCTTACCATACCTTAGTAAATGCAGTGAGCGACTGCCAACATGTGCAAAGACTCTGGCTCTTCACACTGCTCCCTCAGAGAGCCTCCACAGGCACATGCTGTGATGGCGCTCCTTCTGTATTATCACAGATGATAGTGTTATCAAATATCCTGCCATAGCACAAGAAATATCATGCGGTTTCTAGCCCAAAATATGTTTCCTTTCTACCTAGGACCCAACCTCTAAGCCGGTATCATATGCTTTGGGAATTTGTTACAGCTGTACCCCGCATCTTAGAGCAGTTGTTGTTAGAGTTAGAGAGAAGGCTAGGCTGCTGTGGAAACTAACATTTCTTTCTTTTGTTCCTCAGTCCTGATGCTCAGATTAGCCTTTGCCTTTGTCCATGTGCCTGTAATCATGAAGGGACCCATATTTCTTCCATTTTGTAATTCCACGAACATTGTCTAGGTTCTTGTTCTTCTTTAAGCTGAAGTTGCTAGTGGATACCTCTGTTTTCCTGCTGCAGGAAGGGAAGAGATTGTGGGGGAATGTATAACCATTCCTGTAAGCCCTAGATTCAGAAGCTTGCACACAGCACTCCTGTCAGATTCCATTGGCATAATTTAACTCACATGGTCACAGCTACGTGCAAGGAAAACTGGGGACTGAGGTTGGCACATGAGCCCCAGGGGCCCAGCACAGCTTTATTACCATGGCAGAAAGGGTGGTGAGAGGCTGGCCAGCTGATGCTGATCTCCACCAGGGTGCCTTTAACACTGACTTTATCTCTTCAATTTGTTATAACTCTAGAATTCATTACATTTTACATTTTTGCATTTTTTTTATAACTGGACCTGAATATTGTTGATTTTTTGATTCCTGAATTAATGTGTCAAGTTTCAGTTTTCCTTTTCATTAAGATTGACTCGTCAATTTATATAAAAGACTTAATTGGGTTAAAGATGTCAGAATTGAAAGTTTGTTTTATTTCCTTATGTTTTGTTTTATTCTAGTGAATTTACCACCCCCCCAAAACCATTGACTTTGTCAGTACTTTTTGATACTAATAATCTGGTTTCAACTCATAGGCTTAAAAAAAAGCAACAACAACAACAAAAAAACTCAGGTGGAGTGTAACCACAGCCCCAATTTATGAATTTAATAATAATTTTTTTCAAATATAAATATGATCATGGAAGAGACATCATATGATATTGTATTTTTTAGCAAAATGACCCTGCTTTCCATCATTATGGGCAGACATAGTAATCTTCTGCTTTTTTACAGGAAATATGAATTACTTGAGTCAAACTTTATTTACTGTGTCTCTTTTGTAAAAGAAAAAAGAGAATATGAGTCTTAAAACTGAGCTGACACTCCAAAAGTCAAGTCAGTTATAGTCATGTTTAAAAATATAAACAGAAAATGTGTTTGGTTTTTATTACGTGTGTTGCCCTTAGAAGAGAAGTATATTCTTGTCTTCTGCAAGGATGATTGTATTCCTTGGTCCTAATCAATTATACAAAATTTATAAAATAATCTTTTCTAATCAATTTTCAGATAGAAAATTAATGCTTATAATGCTAAAGTGACAGAGGCTGTGAAGTTTGGTAGTTTAGAAACTAAAGAACTTCTGCCTTTCATGGGCCTAGCAAAGCACCACACGTCTTACCAACAGATGTTGAGCATTTATCATTTTCCTTTGCTCCTGAAAGCGATGGCGGACTGCCCTTCCAGCATACAGCTGCTTTGCGACCATGGGGCCTCAGTGCATGCCAAAGATGTAGTAAGTAAATTTATGTTTATTCTTTTTTTTAAAGATTTACTTATTTCTGCAGGCTAGAGGTGCAGGGGGGGTGGTAGAGGGCGGTGAGAGGATTCACCAGAGACAGAGTGGGCAACAGAACAGGTGGATCTACTGAGATACACTGCTGAAGGGAGCAGTGGGCAAGACAGGAGAGGTCTGCTGCACCCTCTGGGTAGCTCCCTGGCCTGCTGGGAATTGAACTGGTGCTGCAGTGGCTGTGGACAGCTTCACATTGTTGTGCTTAACCCCTTGCGCCACCAAGGAGGGCCAAATTTATGTTTATTCTTATTTCAGAACTTGTACTCTAACTTTTATGTTTGAGGAGATTTGTTAGCTTAATGCTGTTCTATTTTTCTTGTTGCTTAGGATGGGCGGACACCACTTGTTCTGGCTACTCAGATGTGTAGGCCAAACATATGTCAAATGCTGATAGACAGAGGATCGGATATTAATTCCAGAGACAAGCAGAACAGGTAATTCTTTATCATGGCTTCCTAGACACCAGCAGGATGTGCAGTGGTTCTGAGTCAGTGCTATTGTGACTTGGACTTTTCTTCCAGGTGGGTTCCCTCTTCCTTTTTTTTTAAAGAGTCCAGTAGAAGGAGGCAGCAGAAGGACCTAGGGGAAAATGGCAAGATGAATGTAAAATAATGGCAGTGATGAAGGTCAAGGAACCGAAGAAAGAGGAATTATATCCTAGTTTTTTTAAGGTTAAAGTCTATGATAAAGTGAGTACAAATAAGAAATAAGGGAGAAGAGCAAAAAAATTACATTTAAAATTTTCTTCATTAGTGAATCTTTTGAGATTAGAGTTCTTTGGCGTCCTGGAGCTCATATGTTTCAGTGTAAATTTTCTTAAGGTGTTTGTTCTCTACACCCTGCCACGTACAATATCACTTCCTTCTCTGAAACCAAATTCATTTTTGTTCCCTAAAACTCTCTCACTTTATTTTTGCTTCTGTATTGGATGTTAATTTAGTTGGTATGTGCTAGTAATTTAGTTGGTATGTGCTAGTAATTTCCATCTATGATTCTCCCTTTCCCCTTTTCTAGGTCTAGTGTATCATAGGGCTCTACTGTATCATAGTGGTAATATTATTATTACTAATAATAACATTACTAACGATTATTATTATTACTAATAATAGTTGCTCTTCTTCCACTAGTTGAAGCATTACAGTAATTTATAGTAAGTTTCTGAGATTTTATAGGCGATTACTAGTGAAATTGTTGGTTTCTTTTCATTTAATTTTATTCTCCTAAGCATGTATCCTATCATTTTGTAGTTCATTGGAAGTAGATAACAAAAGTCTTTAGATGTCAGACTTTATAGCTTTAATTGCTTTTATTGTTCAGGCATCTCATAGGAAGAAATTCTTAAGCAACTAAATTATTAATGTGATTTATTAAGAGAGAGAGTAGTTCTTATTACTTTACTTTTGCAGATATTCTAATCTGTTCCAAACATGAAAATTTGATTTAAAAATAAAATTTAGGATCAGAGTGGATGACCTGCCTAATCCATGTATAATATCTTACATTTTATAAAGCTTTTATTTTTCCAAGTATGTTTGTCTCTGTTATTTTCATTGGAACTTCACACACAAAAAAACCAGCAAGGTGAGCAATGTATATTATATATATGTTATGTAGCAGATGGTTTTAAATGTAAATTACAGCCTTGGTTTCTGACCCATATATTTAGGTTCCTGTTTCTTCTTTCTTTTTTTTTTTTTTTTTTGTGCTATATATAGTATTTTTACCCCAAATAGTGATGACTTTGTTAATGCCTATTGCATATAAATGAGAACCAGCAAATACTGGTGAATATAAAAGAGAAATAGAACGTACATATCAGAGTAAAAGCAAGAATTGCTTTCCTTATGCAATTCAGCGACGGAGATGTAAGTCACTTCAATTTATTAAGTCTGCGTTTCCTTAGTACTAAAAATAGAGGATTGGACAAAACAATTGCTAGGGTCCTTCCATATTTCCATGATGATTTGATTGTCTTGTTGCATTATTGCTATTTGCTGATACACTATTAAAGGTTTAAGTGCTAATGATTCTGTCATGGCAGAAGAGAGCAATGATCCATGACAGTGAGGTTAATCAAGGAAGCTTTATTTGAGAATGCAAGTTTTAAAATTGAGCCTAAAGATGTGCAGGTCTTCAGGTGGGCGAAGCATGGCTCTTCTAGGGAGAGAAATTGGGATCAAGGTCTGATTAGGATAGAGGGATTCATGGGGTGTGTGTGAGGGGGGTGGTGTGGCATAGTTCATGAAGGCTCTTGCGTAGTTAGCTTTGTTATTGCAGATTTTGAGCAAATGGAGCGCCACTATCAGATGTAGAAGGTTTTTATGGTACTTTATTCACATTTGTGGACACTGAAGGACTGGGATGAAGGAAGTTAGTTTGGTAGTAGAAAAAATACAAGTATAGGAGGTGATACAGGATTTTTAGCTCTGCAAGCTAAGACACCAACTACATGCTTTTAAAAATGCTATGAAAGTAAACTATAAACATTTGAAATAAAAACCTGTATCTGTAACTAGTATGACTTTCAAAAATAATTTCTGTTCTTGAGAAAGGAGGCCTTTAGGAGGACATTTCTGAAATATTCCTGGCTTTTACACTAGGTCTTCTATTCTTCTTTTTTCTCCTATAGAACTGCTCTCATGCTGGGTTGTGAGTACGGCTGCAGAGACGCAGTGGAAGTCTTAATTAAAAATGGTGCTGATATAAGCTTGCTGGATGCCCTTGGCAATGATAGTTCTTACTATGCAAGAATTGGTGACAATCTGGACATTCTAACCTTACTGAAGACTGCATCAGAAAATGCTAACAAAGGTACCAATGGTTTTCTGTAATTAAAAGGTGCCAGTTAATAAAGAGCAACTTTAAAAGATTAGGTGGTAAAACTACAATTTGTAAGAAGCAGAACAGTATTAGTTCATCTCCCTCCATACCGTGGCTTTGTATTTTGGCATAGTAGTAACTTGTTCTGAGGCAGTGTTTGTTGCATATGTACTGTCTAGTTTATTAGGTAAACTCTACTGAACTGGAATAACTTAAGAACTGAGAAAGCCAAATCAAGCGTTTCACAAATTTTTTTCAGTGATGACGGATGAAGCTCTTAATACTCTTATACTTGAAGTTTCAAGAAAGTTATCATTGTTTAAACCTGTACATAAAATATTAACCCAGTTTTTATCAAATAGTTGTGCCAAATATGTTTACTATGTTTATCTAAGAGAAATTGGAAAATACATAAAAGCAGAACAAATGAAACAAGTCACTCATTCTACCACTGAGGCGCCTCTAGTAACATTATGAGGATTATCCTTCTAGTCTTCCCTTTCCATAAAATTGAGGTCACCTGTATGAGCTGTAGATTTTTTTCTGATTATTCTTTAAAATTATTATTTATTGAAGTAATATGTAGGTGTGTAGTTTTAGGGTGTAGATTACTTTTTTATTATGTCTTGAAGACTTTATCCTCATAAATTTTTCTCTAATGTGTGATTTTTTTTATTGATGCATTAAATTCCATCTACTTGAAATTAAGTAAGCCGTAAGCCGTTTTCTATAGTTGTCATTTTATTTGTTTATGGTTTTGTACTAATATAAACAGCAATTTAGTATCTGTCCTTAAACATAAATATTTTAGCATATTTTTATTATACCCTTAGGATCAATTCCTAAAAATTGAATCATTCAGTTTCAGGGTATGCACATTTCTTTAAGTTTCTGACATATATTGATAAATTATCTTCTAATTGAGGAGTATTATAAAATTTGCATTTTCACTCAACCTTATCTCCCTAATACTGGATATTATCTACCTGGATGTTATCACATTAAAAAAAACACAAAACTAGACTCATTCATAGACAAGCATGGTATCTCATTATTATTTTAACTGTAAGGTAGTAAGCTTTAGAGAAAATTTTAGCATTTATTTCTCTAAGTGTAAAGTTAGGGAATACATCTATGCAAGTCAACCTGCTGTTTTACTACTCCCTTCTCTCCTTTCTTTCTATTTAAATCTTCAGGGAGAGAACTTTGGAAGAAAGGACCTTCTCTTCAACAGGTAGATCTTAATTTTAATGTTTAAAAATTATATGTGTGGGACAATTTAAGTAAAGTGCTTGAAAAAACCAGCACTGATTAATGAGGACATGTAGCTGTTTGAGTGGAAATGTTTGCTGTTCTAGTTAATCATGTCCACAGAGAACCTAAGTATTAAGGACATGGGGTTTTATCTGGATACTGATAATCAGCTTGAGACTGGGAATCTGAATTACAGTTAATGTAGCCAATGGGAAATAAATAACCTCCTGATCACTGCCCTTTCAAGTTTGAAATATTGCACCTTGATGAGGTTCTGACATGATGAATAGCAGCGTGGTAGACCATAGACAGTTTCCCCCTTGTAATAATGTTACTGTTGTGGGTCAGTTCTTCTAATGCAATAAGACATGAAGAAAACAGAATTTCAAAGTGACATATTATTTTTTCAGTACCACTGTTGACATTTTTTTTTTTGCTGTGTTTGTATTTTACTGAGGAATCACTTTAGAAAGGCATAATGCATGAAATAATGCATACCTTGTACTAATCAACTCACAATTTAACCCTGGTTTTGTTTCCCTGTGTGTGTCTTATTGTTTCCCCCTAATCTCTGAACTCACGCAAGTTTGGTGGTTTCCTGCACCCACCTGTCTGCTCAGAAGCTAGTGTAGGCAGCTTTCCTATTCTGCTGGCTGTTCCCTTCCAGGCTTTCAGCTTTTCCCTAGTGAGACGAATCTGAGCACTTCTCAACCCTGAGGAGAAAGTAATCAGGTACCTTCTGAGTGATTCTGATCATCATTCTGCATCTTTCACTACTTCTCACCGGGGTCCACGTGAAAGCATGCTGCCCTCTTCCTCCTGGCATGAGCGCCCCTTCCTGCATGGGTCATGTCTCCTGGCACTTGCCTTTTCCATCTAGAGCAACTCTTTCTGCCTTTCTCCCTCCCTAGATAACCTCAGAAGGGAGTAGAGTGAGATAAAATGTGTACAGTTATGTCAATGCCAGGCATCTCGCACAGAACCACAGAAACATGACTCAAAGTATGCAGATACTTAAAGAATGATTGGACATGAATATGTGAATGGGCTCAGGGTCTTTAAGCATTGCCCAGGTGAACATATGAAGTTAATACTCTGCTGGGAGCAGTAAAAACTCATCTGTTTCCACATATATTCTCACACTCAGGAGAGAGATGGATGAGTGCAAGTGAGTATGTAGTGTCACCAGAGATTCTTTCCAGAAAAGTGGAACAGGATTCAGGGATACAGAGGGAGAGGGCAGATGCTGTTTTAGAGGAAAGCCAGGCCTTGTCTAGGGGTATGATCTTTGAGCAGAGGTGTGAAGGAGGTAAGGAAGCCAAGGGGCAGAGAGGACAAGTAGACCAAGTCTCTGATGGGGGAGTGTTTACTGTTCCCAAACGGCTGTAAAATGTCGGAGGGACACGTGTGTGTGACTGAGGACGCAGGAGAAGCATCAGTGAGGCAACCTGGCTGTGAGCCACACTTTCTGTGGATACACTTCAGTGCAAATATTATGAGCAGGCGGGCCAGATTCCACATGAATGGTACTTTGGGAAAAGGCTTGAGGCTAGAATTGTAGTTTGGGCAAAATTGTGGCTATAGAACATCTTCTTGATGGGATGTTCGCCCCATAGTTCTAAATCCAGTTTCATTAGAGTAATGCTTTAAACACTCACTTAAGCAAAATTCAGCAGGCATTACAACACTTAAAATTATCTTGGAGAATCAAACTGTTAGCTTTCTTTTTTAGCTCTCCAAAAGGAAGAACAAAATAGTTTTCTAAATCGTGCAGGTTTAGAAGTCCATTTGGATTAAAAAAAAAAAAAAAGTAGGTTATTTGTTCTCTTGTGTAATAATTGTGTTGTGCTTTTATTAAAGCAAATCTTTAAGCTGGAATAAAGTTTCAAAGCAGTAAGTGTGCAAAAACAGAACGTGCACCCCAAGTCATTTAGTGATCCTTCACGTAGCTCATCAAAGCGCTGGCTGTCTCTTTCTTACCACACTCCTTAATATTTTACTTCTTTAGGGCTCAAAGAAATAAATGAGTTCCATATTTGCATTCAATATTAATGTGACTTCTCTCACCTCTTTAAAAAAAAAATCGAAATTTTTACTTTGGGAGTGGTTGGTTGATGGAAGCGCATAGCACGACTTTGGTTTTGTATCTAGTACAAGGTCTTCTTTTTAATATTTGCTGACTTTATTTAAAACAAATCCTTACCAATAAGTATTTTAAATTGTTATTTTTTTATATTTTACAATAAATCACACCTTGATTTATTTGAGGCCCATATTCTTAGATGTCCATTTGGAGTTTTAAGAGGAAATACTGCCACCTTGTGTTAGGTGCGACAAAATTTAATGTAAACTGATCATCGCCATTGGGTGTATTGCCTCGAGGAAAATGTAGTTTTCCATGTTCTCATTCTGGCTAAGCTGTGTTTTCTTATGTTTCACCAAAGCGAAATTTGCCATACATGCTGGATGAAGTGACTGTGAAGTCAAATCAGAGGGAGCACCACAGCATTCAGGTAAAAAGAAAAAGGAAATTTGGTGTCTTCCTTAGCAAACAATTCTGGTGCTGTCTGTTAATAGGTTTGGGGAAAAGAGGCAGAAAAAAAGTAGGAGAAGTGAGCAGGAGAAAGAAGTGCAGCTTAGTATGTTTTGGGGCTCCATTTTCTTGTCCAGTCCTTTCTAAACGGTTTAGCATTTGATAGGAATGTCTGGATCAATATTACATTGCATAAAGTATCTTTAAATATATATTCAAAAGCAAATAATTCAACAGCTTTATATAACTCATTGTTGATTTAAATATATCTATTTTGGGCATGAATCATAAATTTGTATTCATTTTTGAAAATTAATTATAGCGGTAAAATGATGGTTATTAATGAAAACAAAATCTGACCCTTTTCTTAAACTATATTTTAATTAAGAAAAATAATTTTGTTAACCACACAGCACTTTTTATCTTTTATGTTTGTTCCAGTATTCAAAAACTGTTTATTATGTGGGTTAAGTTGGAGGAAGAGTCCATAAATGGTTTATTTAATGATTGAAGTACCATGAAGATATAAATTGAATGGTTGTTTTCCATATAGTAAAACAAAATCATTTTGTATGGATTTTTGTAGTTTACTATGTAGCATTAAGAAAGTAAAGTAGAGCCTTAATTGAAAACTTAAATGTTTTATCAGAACATTGACTGAAATAATGAATAAATAAAAGCATTTGAATAATAGACATGAAACTATCAATTGAAAGTTAAAATCACATATTCTTCTCTGCTATTTTCTATTTTCAGATGATGCTTTTATTTTTTGTTTATTGAATCAAGGTTTGCTGTTTTGTATTTACTTGTACTTAGCTAGTATAGTATAGTCATTTTCTATGTAATTTCGGGTATATAAATTTTAATGTAGTTGAAATAATTGTATTTAAACTTGTCTATTCTTGTATATCTGCATATGATCGTGAAGTGCTTTTAAAAATTTCTTCTATAAGGTATTGCTCTTTTAAGGTTGACTAGGACCTGTTATCTTTATTGTTTAAGGATCTGGAGATTGAAAATGAGGAGTTGAAAGACAGGTTGAGGAAAATTCAGCAAGAACAGAGAATATTATTGGATAAAGTCAATGGTTTACAACTACAGCTGAATGAGGTAAATAATCTACATGATACAAAGGATGCAAAATAGACCCCCAAATCTCTTTTACTACCAGTTGTCATCATGGCTAACAAACTGTTAATGGTTGTCTGTCACATCAAGACAGGGTACTGAAAGAGAAGAAATCAGGTCCTTGCCCCTGAGGACAGTTATATCTTTCTAGGACTTTACATAAAGCTTTTAATGTCAAATATAAGAGCAGAGACTATTACTGGGGTGTGATTATAACAAAGAACTGAACATAGTTGGGGCTATGGGATTGGAGAAGAAGGTGTACACAAAAGACAAGAGGAATAAGAGCAGGAAGGAGTTGGTGGTTGATGTTTCTGAATCTGGTTAGGGAGAAGAATGAATGATAACAGGTAAATGACACACTGACCACATATAAACATTTTCTTCTCACATCCTTGTTCCCAATCTTAAAGACATGTGTCAGTCTTTTAAAAAGATATTTGCTAAGCTCATTCCTTTTAAACTTTGGAGAATGAAAATGGACTTTTTTTTTTCTTCTTCAATGTAGGAAGTTATGGTTGCTGATGATCTGGAAAGTGAGGTAGGATGATAAATTTACTTTAAAATGTACTGTTACTCTAGATGTGTAAATCAAATACGGTATTGCAGTGGAATTTTAAGTCCTGATTTCAGGTGGAAAACAGGATTCTATTTCTAATTATTGTTGAAAGGGGAAAACAAAACCTATATGTAATTGTAATAGTATGTTTTGAGTATAGTGGATGGGTTTATTAAAGGCATTTTGCTATTACTGCCTCAGAATGTATCATTGTCTGTGAAACTTTTCATAAAAAGATATAAAATTCTAAGCATTAAAAAGACAAGATCTGAAAATGATAACATTTTTTCTAGTTACCATTTTTATTTGTCTTTTAAGTTAAAGTATATTTTTCCTTATTTTGCCCTTTTTGTGCACACACTAATTTAACCCGGTAATCTGAACACCTATTGAAAATGATAACATTTAAAACAAACAAATTTTCCTAATTTTTGTATATATTGTATGTTTTTTTGTATTTTTATGTTAGTATATTTGTAGAAATTATCAACTCTACTAATAGTTAAAATTCACCAGTGTGGAGAATTTTTAATTTTGGTTTTTAAAGTAATTCTCATAAACATTTTCTAAGACACAGATTTAGCCCAGTTTCAAGCATTTATTCCTGCACTTATTCCTCTCCATTTCAGAAAGAAAAACTGAAGTCTCTGTTGGCAGCTAAAGAAAAGCAACATGAAGAAAGCTTAAGAACTATTGAGGCTCTGAAAAACAGAACTAAATATTTTGAGGTATAAAAATTAAATTAATTCCTATAACTCATAATGGGTAATGGCAAGGGGTTTAGAATCAGACTTAAATTTAAATTATTATTCTTTCCTTTATAGTGTGAGCTTAGGTAGTTTATTGAATGTCTGCAAGCGTGTTGCCTGCCTGGCAAAATTGGGGTAATTGTTCTTTCTTCACAGAAAGGTCGTGAAAACTAAATGAGATCATTGAAATGACCAGCATATTACTGACATTTAGTTCACTTCTTTTCTCTTCCTCAATCTTCCTCTTCGCCCATCTTCACCTCTTCAAAACTTCATATTTTTACTGTAAATTTTCAATAATAAAAATGGCAATAATCACAAGCAGCATTTAAATGACTAGGGAACCAGTATTATTCCAAGGATTTTGTGTGTATATGGATTAACTGGAGCATTTTGTTTGGTGAGAGCTATGTGTTAATATGACTTCAGATCATATAACTCATCTTTGGTGGCATCAATTCGCTTTTAGTTTTTCTAAAGTCACTTTTTAAGCTTTTTATTAAAATGCAAGATATAGCATGAAGTACGCAGGCTGTCTGTAAGCTGAAACCTTCTCGCCTTTGCAGAGCACCTAAAGCCTCCTCACGTGTGCTTCCTGTCACTACCCGTGCTCCCCGCACTGAGGTGACCACACACCTGACTTTCAATTTCATAGACTGTTTTCTAATATATTATATATATATATATATATGTATATTATAAATGTTGTTCATCACTGTGTGTCACTAAAGAGGGTGGCTGATTCAATGTGAATCTTTCATCTTTTGAGGGAATACAATTCTGATACTGTAATTTTTTTTTAATTTAAAAAATAATTTTTTCCTTGTAAATAAAAATGTGTGTAGTTGTGAAAAACAATGCTAGAAGATATTGATAAAGCTCACAGACATAATGTTGTTTGAAAGAAATCACATACAGTGTATACTACTGCATGGCTCCATTTTTATGAAGTTGAGACTCGGGCAAAACTAATGTATGGTGATGGGGTCTCCCTGTAGTGAGGGTTAATGACAAGGGTGAGGCATGAAGAAGCTTTGGAGGTGCTAGGAATGTTCTATATCTTGATCTGGGCTCTGATGATGCAAGGTAGACATGTACAGAGTCATTTGTGTACTTGTTGCGAATGAATTATGTCTTGGTACATTTAAAAAAAAACAAAAGCAGTGTGTTTATATTTATATGATTTGATTGTGAAGATTGCTTATAAACAGTTTTATAAGCTACAGAATAATTCAATTCAGTGGCTCACATCTTTTTCACATTGGAAGAATTTTTAAAGGTTAACGGTGAAACTAGGCATAGCTGACATTGTCACAGCACCAAATATGTGCCAGACACCACTGTACTGTACACACATGGAATAGACAGGGTGACTCTATGCAACAGGTTGTTTTCATTCCTCTTACAACACAGCCTTAGAGGGATTTGCCCATGAGAGGTTTTACAAGAAGAAAGTGGTCGAGCCTGAACTTGAACCCAGGCAGTCTTGCTCTCCTTTGCTGTTAACTGCAGTATTAGTTTTACTCTCAGAGCACATTTGTATTTTCTCTTTGTAGTATTTATCAAGTTTGACACCTATAACTGGTGTCAAATTCTTAAGCCTTAAGGTAGAGTCAAGTCTAAAACTTTCAATGACGTTATAATAAATAATGGAAAAATAACATTTTTTTTTAATCACAGAAGCTATATATTTATTTAGAAAATTGGAAAGTATATTTAAAGGTATAAGGCAAAGGCACCTCTGATCCTGACACTCCTAGCACCTGCCCAATAATCTCTCGGGTCCTCCTTTGCTTGTGACTCATGCTATGTCCGCATTCCATATGTGAGGTCAGATCGCATGTCTGTTCTGTGACTTTTTTCACTCAACATTTTCCCCCGTCATTAATGTGCATTGTGATGAATTGTTACATTAGAAATGACTTTTTACTTTCAAAAAAAAAAGACATAATGATAGGCCCACTTTTATATGACCCAGTATATATGAATGCAGCCATTAAAAACTAAGAATTCACCATTTATAACTGAATTGAATTGAATGTCCACTACTGTATCATCTCATATACTTAATAAAACTCTCAACACTCTTCATAAACTGCCACCAAAATTTCTGCGTTCTATGTAATAATCTGTAGGCCTTTTCCTTATGTTATAGAAAAATATGGATATTTTAGAATGAAACTAATTTTATAATAACTCATGTATTCCTTTTCATTTTGGTCATCTGGGAAAGGTAATAAACCTAAACTAAATTTTTTGACCACTTATGTGTAATAAGCCTTCTCCCATCTGTATTGTATAAGCTCTTTTAGTAACTATTGCAAACTCTGGTAGTAACTATTACACAGACAAAAAGCTTGACTAAGTTTACAGATATTTTCCATCATTAGTGTGAGGTGGCATTAATGGTTAAGGAACTATGGATCTTTTTGACCTTGGTCACTTATATCAGATTTGGACATATAATTGTTAGTACAAATATACAAACATGCATATCTTCATTTTTGAAGTGTAATATTTAAATTTGTTGGATTTTTGGGGTATGGCTTACTTGGGAAAAGGAGCACTCCAAATACATTTTGCTTTGGGATATCCAAAGTTTTCTATTACTTCACCTATGGATTTATCAGTGTGTGAGTCTCTTTGCTTTAACTTGGTTTCTTATTCTCTGTCTCCCTTTGCCTCCAAAAGTAATTGGTATTCTAAAATTCTAAAAGAAGGGATTGCACTACTATGCAGTCAATGAGGAAGGGTCCCAGCTCCCAACAGGGTAGAGTAAAATGATCAGTTGATGTGAATGTGGCATTTCCTTCCTTTTGAGGTAAAGAAGCAGAAGAGTGTGCATTGAAAGTTAGTTCATTTGGAGCTTGCTTTTTTTTCCCTTTGAATAGTAGGTTTTTCCTTGAAGCACTTGGCTGCTTTTATTAAAATGCTTAGTGAAGTAGTTTATTCCCAGTTGATGTCCCTAATTGTTGCTAGCGCTATTATCTTTTTGTGGGTTCAAGTAGAATAATACTCAGGAGAAACAAGGAATGTTGAAAATGTGGTTTTAATGACTGGAACACTTAGAGCTAAAATAGAAGCAAAATTTAACAAAATGAAGCAGTGTTCAACTAAAATGTTTTAATTTATACTTTTGATTTCAGAGCGATCATTTAGGATCAGGAAGTCATTTCAGTAACCGTAAGTATAAAAATACAGTTTCTAATTTCAGTTTACCTAGTTCAAGCAAAGAGGAGGAATGTTTCCACCTATTATTTTGTCTAACATGATATTCCTGATGCTAAATCTCATTCAACTACTTGTGTGTTATAGCTCAACACATAGAACTAGGAGGAGGTGAAGGCCACTGCTGTAGCCTCTTAATATACAGTCTGTTCATCATGGAGGCTGAGTTTCCTTAACTCTCTCTATTTTTTAAATTGTATGTTACATCAATTACCAAATTTGCCTCATCAACTAGTAGATATTTATCTTGTAATATTTGGGGCTTGCTTTTTATGGAGAAATTTTTGTAGAGTCTCAATATAGGTAAGCTTGTAAAGGTGTTAGATGTTCTATAAACAATGACTAATTTTAAGAGAGTGCATAATTAACCTTCATTTTTGTTTACTGTTCTTCAGCTTTAAACAATTTCTCTAGAAGAACTATTTTCTTGCTTCCCAGTGAATATTAAATTATCTTCTAGGCTAAGTACAACAGTAACATTTATTCTGTAGGTGGCAAAGAATACCATTTTTTTTTTTGATGATGGTAAGATACTTATTTTATGATTATCATAAAGCTTTTTTAGTTAGTCTCACGTATTTCTAAAAACCCACTTCGTATTCTGAATATAGGTACTTCCTTTATGTATAGAAATATTAAGGTAAATATTTAGAACAAGAGTAACTTCATATTGTAATTCATGCTCCTCTTTTGTTTGAATATTAAAGAAGAGACCAAATTAATATTTAACCTACTTTCGTGCGGAAACTTACATTAAGATATCATTTGTTTGTACTTATTTAGGAAAAGAAGACCTGCTTCTTAAACAAGGTCAAATGTATACTACAGATTCACAGGTACTAGTAATACTATTCTTTAAATATATCCACTGAGTAAGATGTTCAATACCAAAGAAAAATTGGTCTTGTGTTTGGTTTAACAAAAGCAGGTATTGCTGTTTCTGGTGCCCTCTAGAGTGTTTTTGATGACAATGACTTAAATAAAAGATTTGAATTACAACTTCATTGTCTTGAATAGTAAACCTTATTCATTAACAGCAATTGGTTAACTCTTCATGTTTGCCCATAGAAAGGGGAAGGCACATTATTCATATGAATAATTCAAAAGTCATTTGTTTTGACTTTGAAATAATGCTTTCCTTTTCATTTATGTATGTATTCGGGGTTTTGGAACTTCACCTCGAAATAAAGCTGCCAAGAGGCAGTATTGTCTCATTTTCAGACTTGTTTGCTGCTACTTTTAGTTTCTAGTAGGTACACAGTTTGCATTTCTAACACCTCGTTTGAACTACAGGAATGACAAATATTTGGGATTACTTACTTTCATCTGTAGGCAGAGTGAATTAGTCTATGTGATGTTTAAGGTTGCTTTGATTTGGAAACTTCTAAACTTCTAAGAGGCTAAGTGGAGAGAATGGATATTAATGGAACAGTATTTAAGATGAAATAAATATTTGATAATAATAAAAGAAATATGGAAATTGCAAAGCTGCGTAAGTATTTGTTGGTAAATTATAGCAGTCTTAGTCTAAAGATAATTGGTAAGATGAAAGGCAGTTTAGAAGCACACTAAGGCTGGAATATTTATTACTCTGAGTTGTTAATGTTTTTCTCCTTGATACACAAAAGGCAGCTTCAGTTTAAATCTGTCTATTAAAATAGTGCAACATACTCATAGCCCATGGCTTTTATTAATGAAGTAGTACTAATAAAGAGCCTTTTATAGGCTGTGTGTGGAAAAATAGAAATAGTTAAATTTAGTCTTTCATGATTATATATTCTCTTTTTTATGAACACTTACATAAGTTTAATTATCCTTTTTTGTCAACACATAAGAGAGGGGACAAACTGTAAATAAAAATTTGTACTAAGGTCTTCAGCTAAGTTCTAATTAATCTTTATGCTAGAGAGAGGAAAATTTGTTTCCTTTTGTGAGTTGACTAGCATCCTGTCAACAGCTGTCATACTAACTGGGTTTATTTTGAAGGTGTTTCCATACTTTTTTTTTTTAAGATTTATTTATTTATGCATACAAGAGCTGGGGTATAGGCCAGAGATGCGGGGGATGAGAGGATTCACCAGAGACAGAGTGGGGAGCAGAACAGGTAGACTGACTGAAATACACTGCTAAGGGGGGCAGTGGGCGAAGACAGGAGAGGCCTGCTGTGCCATGTGGGTTTCTCTCTGGCCAGCCAGGGATCAAACTCATGCTACAGAGGCTACAGATTGCTTCATAATGCAGTGCTTAACCCCTTGTGCCACCAGGGAGGCCTCTATACTTTTTTTTTTAAGATTTATTTATTTATGCATATAAGAACTAGGGTACAGGACAGAGTTTCAGGGGGTGAGAGTATTCACCAGAGACGAGTGGGGAGAAGAACAGGTGGACTGACTGAAATACACTGCTGAGGGGAGCAGCGGGCAAGGCAGGAGAGGTCTGATGTGCCATGTGAGTCACCTCTCTGGCCGGGGATCAAACTCATGCTGCAGTGGCTGTGGTTAGCTTCATATTGCTGAGACTTAACCCCTTTGCGCCACCAGGGAGGCCCTGTTTCCATACTTTAAGGAAGATTCCATTGGAGTTAGTGAAGGTATTCAGAGGTCATATATGTTATTAGAGATTGTATAATATATAGTCATTCTATAAAATTATTGGTAGATTTAAAATTTTACTTATTTTTAGTTCAAGGATTCTGATAACTTTCTTCAGAGTTTAAAGTTTTAAGTATATGATGTGCCATAACATACATAAATAATGTGTTTTGATAAAGTTGATATTCATGTGTGGGTAGGTATTATGAGTGGGGAAAGGAAGAGAAAATAGTACCCAGAGGGCAAAGCTGTCTCCCATCTTTGTTCTGCCAGAAATATACCTAAGTGAACAGATTTTGAAAATGTCACTAGGAGCCTATTAAAGAAATCATACCCAGAACTGTTTTTCTTACTTCAGATATCAGTGCTGTGTTCTTCCAGGGTAAAACCCTTTACCAATGATGTGGAAACTTTGCACAGTTTGGCAAATAAGTGTCTTCTTTAGGCTTTTATGATTGTTTTTTTTTTTCCCTTTTCAGTGTACTTCCCCAGGTATGCCAGCCCATATGCAAAGCAGATCTATGTTGAGGCCCCTGGAGCTGTCCTTACCCAATCAAACCTCATTCTCTGAAAATGAAATTTTAAAGAAGGAGTTAGAAGCCATGAGCCATTTCTGTGAGTCGGCCAAACGGGACCGGCTCACGCTTCAGAATGAACTGGCTCACAAAGTGGCAGAGTGCAAAGCTTTAGCCTTAGAATGTGAAAGAGTCAAGGAGGATTCAGACGAGCAGATAAAGCAATTAGAAGATGCATTAAAAGATGTGCAGAAGAGGATGTATGATTCGGAAGGTAAAGTGAAACAAATGCAGACACATTTCCTTGCCCTTAAAGAGCACCTGACAAGTGAAGCTGCTGCAGGGAGCCACAGACTCACAGAGGAACTCAAGGAGCAGCTGAAAGACATGAAAGCCAAATACGAAGGCGCCTCAGCAGAAGTGGGAAAACTAAGAAACCAAATCAAACAAAATGAGATGTTAGTAGAAGAGTTTAAGAGGGATGAAGGCAAGCTGAAAGAAGAAAATAAGCGATTGCAGAAGGAATTTAGCATGTATGAGATGGAGTGTGAGAAAAGGGGGAGAAAGACCACAGACATGGAAAGCCAGGTGAAAGATTTGTTAGCAAAGTTGGCCCTTTCTGTTCCGACAGAAAAATTTGAAAACATGAAGAGCTTATTATCTAGTGAAGTAAACGAGAAAGCAAAAAAAATAGCAGAGCTAGAAAGAGAATATGAAAAGTCACTTGGTGAAATTAGACAGTTAAAGAGAGAACATGAGAATTTTAAGGCCACGCTTGCTCAGCATGTCAAACCCCAGGACCATGAACAGCTCAAGAACAGGTTAGAGCAAAAGGTAGGGGAGCAGGGGAAGAAGATCACTGAGTTAACATCAAGAAATCAGACACTACAAAAAGAAATTGAAAAGGCTTATCTAGATAATAAAGCCCTCAGCCAACAAATACATACTTTAACCACGGAAATGAAAAATCATTATGTTCCTTTAAAAGTAAGTGAAGAAATGAAAAAGTCACATGGTGTAATTGTCGACGATCTGAATAAAAAGCTTTTGGATATAACGCAAAAGCATACAGAAAAGAAGTTGGAAATGGAGAAATTGCAGATGGAAAATGATAGTTTAAGTAAGAATGTTAGTCGCCTGGAAACTGTGTTGGTGCCTCCCGAGAAACATGAAAAAGTCATGGCTCTGACATCCAACATTGTTGAACTAAATAAACAGCTCTCTGAACTTAATAAAAAACGTGGTGAAGACCAAGAGAAAATACATTTGCTCCAGTCTGAAAACACTAACTTGAAAAAGACTATGAGTCTCCAGTACGTGCCTGTTAAAGCCCACGAAGAGGTGAAGAGGGCACTGAGCAGCACATTAGATAAAACTAACAGAGAATTACTGGATGCGAAGAAAAAACTGGAAGATGTAAATCAAGAATTTGTGAAGATAAAAAGTGAGAATGAAATATTAAAAAGAAACCTGGAAAACGCTCAGAACCAAATAAAAGCTGAGTACCTCAGCCTCAAAGAACACGAAGAAAAGATGAGTACTGTGAGTCAGAACATGAAAAAGATGCAGGATGATCGTGCTGAAGTACTGGCTAAGTACAAAAAGGGCCAAGACGAGATCGTGACTCTGCATGCTGAAATTGAAGCCCAGAAAAAGGAGCTTGACACAATACAAGAATGCATTAAGCTAAAGTATGCGCCAATTGTCAGCTTGGAAGAGTGTGAGAGAAAATTTAAAGCAACAGAGAAGGAACTAAAAGAACAGTTATCAGAGCAGACACATAAGTGTAATGTCAGGGAAGAAGAGAGCAAGAAGTGCAAGCAAGAGAATGACCAGTTAAGGGAGGAGATATTCACTCTTCAGAAGGATTTAAAGGATAAGAATGCTCTTGTTGAGAATTCTCATGAAATGGAAAGAGCGTCAAGCAGAAAAATAGAAGAGCTAAGCAAACAGTTAAAAGACCTATTACAGAAATACACAGAGGTAAGGAATGAGAAGGAGAAGCTGCTAGAAGAAAATACCAAGCAGACTTCTGAGATCCTTGCCACACAAACACTTATGCAGAAACAGCATGTACCATTAGAACAGGTTGAGGCCCTAAAAAAGTCTCTTAATGGCACAATTGAGAATCTAAAGGAAGAACTGAAGAATAAACAAAGGTGTTACGAGAAGGAGCAGCAGACAGTGACCAAACTGCAGCAAATGTTGGAGAATCAAAAGAACTCTTCTGTGCCCCTGGCAGAGCATTTGCAGATTAAGGAAGCATTTGAGAAAGAAGTTGGAATCATTAAAGCTAGTCTGAGAGAAAAGGAAGCAGAAAGCCAAAACAAAACGGAAGAAGTCTCCAAACTCCAGTCTGAGGTTCAGAATACTAAACAAGCATTAAAAAATTTGGAGACCAGAGAGGTTGTCGATTTGTCTAAATACAAAGCAACAAAAAGTGATTTGGAGACACAGATTTCCAGCCTCAATGAAAAATTAGCCAATCTGAATAGGAAATATGAGGAAGTATGCGAGGAGGTTTTGTATGCCCAAAAGAAGGGACTGTGCGCCAAAGATGAGAAGGAATTGCTCCATTTCAGCATTGAGCAAGAAATCAAGGATCAGCAGGAGCGGTGTGACAAGTCCTTAACCACAATCACAGAGCTGCAGAGAAGAATACAGGAATCTGCTAAACAGATTGAAGCAAAAGATAACAAGGTAGGCCCCAGTAGTCTGTGTTTTTTGCATTGGAAACCCCAGACAGAACCCCTGGGGTAAAACAGGGCTCTTTCCCATAGCCTCCCTGAACTGGTTTACAAAAGCATTAACAAAGTGGCCATGAAAGGCTACCTTTCCAATCTGAGGACTGGTATGCCAAAAGCAAAAAAAAAAGGTACAATAGAAAAAAAAAGTAAAGTTACACAAAGAAAAATCAAAAGCAATTTTCCCTTGGTTTCCTCAAGGAAAACAAGAATGGGGGTAGGCATGGGAAGGGCTCCAGGTTCACTCTTAAATGAATGGTCAAAATTCAGTGGGTTTTAGGGTATCTGAAGAAAGATGATGGAAAAGAGGGAAAGATGTTCCTGCATTGCATTGGAACTAGGGGGGTCATTGCCTCCTTATCTTGGCATCTACCTGTACCTGTACACTGAGGCCTCCAGCTACACTCTGCCCCCCATCTTTCTACAAACTGAGCCCCTCATTCAGAATGTCTGCCTCCCGCCCTTTTGAATTAAATCCTCTACTTTGCTTAGTGCCCACTTAACCACTTATCCTTCCCAGAGCCTTCCTGTTCATTTTAGCCTACAGTAAACGTCCTCTTCCAAAATGCATCTTTTGTTTTGATTTGACATTGCCACTCATTTAACACATGCATATGATGGCTATGTCAGCATTATATAGCTCACCCTCCCAGCCAGATTTTAAGATCGAGTTTGTAACTTAAGTTTCCTTCTTGCCTTTCATTCTCAAAGCGCACACTTACAGAGTGTGTGCTCAACAGTATTTTCAAAACTCATAGTCGCATAAAGTGTGTGCTATGAAAATGAGAAATTGGGGAGACTGAGCGTAATTTTATCTGTTCAACAAATGATTATTAAATGCTTTCCATGCTCAATTCTGTGGATACAGACACAGCCCTGGCCTTCCTCAGTGGAGTGGTACAAATATTAACCCTTCTGACATGTCTGCCCATGTAACCTAGAATTTAAATACTCTCAGCTTGTTTGGGAGGTGGTTATGAATGCAGTGAAATGTAATGATAATAGCAAGTTATTATGTATACTTAAAATCATTGCTATTTATGGGCATATGCCAGGCAAATAATTATGATTGCATTTTCTTTTCTTTTTTTTATAATTTTTTTAAGATTTATTTATTTATACAAGCACTGGGGTATAGGCCAGAGGCTTAGGCTGGTGAGAGAATTCACCAGAGACAGAGCGTGGAGAAGAACAGGCAGAAGGACCGAAGTATGCTGTGGAGGGGAGCAGCGGGCAAATAGGAGAGGTCTGCCCGGCCATGTGGGAATCTCCCTGGCCCGCCGGGAATCGAACTGGCACTGTAGAGGCTGCGGACAGCTTTACAGCGCTGCGCTCAACCTGCTGCGCCACTGGGGAGGCCCTGCATTTAATTTTCTTAACTATGAAAGATTTTGCCCCTTTCACTCAGAAGGAAACTAAAGTGCAAAAGAAATGAGCAAGTACCTCAGATCTGCCTACACTGATGCTTTTGCTCTAGACATGCCTCTTTTTTTTTCCTCTTTAAAACAAAATAGTCAACATTATACATTCTTGAAAAGGAGCAAGGCACACAAGTTAAACTTCTATAGACTTACAAGAAACATGTTTTTTTTTTACTTTTCAAACTTTGTTGAGGGAACTCCTCCCTCTCTTCCTAAGTTTTCAACCACCCTAGAAGATAGTCTGTGTACCTTCTCAGGTACTTAATGTCGCCTCACAAGCCTGAGTCCTCAGTCTGGTCTTAGGATATACATCATATTTATTCTTAATTTGGTAATACTTTTCAAAGGAATTTTCTGAGAGGAATTAAAGTTAAATTACAGAGTGTTTCTACTGCTTACACACTGTTTTGACAACATTCATTCCTCCATTTCTGGGATATGTATCAGGGAATGATTTCTGTCTAAAGATGTTCATTCTAAACGAGTAAGTGAATAATATATGTTTTTCCACAACTGTTTTCTTTTTTTGTAAGATAACTGAACTGCTTAATGATGTGGAAAGACTGAAACAGGCACTCAATGGCCTCTCACAGCTCACCTACGGGAGCGGGAATCCCAGCAAGAGACAGAGCCAGCTGATTGACACCCTGCAGCATCAGCTTCAGTCCCTCCACCAGCAGCTGGCTGTGAGTGACTTGAGGGCTCCAGAGCGGGCTTGCTGGTGTGGGAATTCTTGTTTCCAAGTCAGATTGATCTGTGGCTGTGCTCAGATCAAAGAATGTAATTGCTTTTTGGTAAAAGTTATTATTCTAGCAGTATCATTATGAGTTTGGTGCCTCTACATGCCAGGTACTGCATTAGATATTTTATTTAATTTTTAATACTTTATCTTTAAACTAGATCTTCATCACCATTACACAAGGTTTTATTTTCCCCATTGAATTCTCAAGGAAACAAGAGCTCCTGCAGTTAGGATTAAATTCTGGAACTGGCTGCATCTGTGTCATTTCCATTGCAGCACACTCTTTAAAATACTGGCCCATTAAACCCAAGAAGCTTTTTAAAAAATAATCTTTTATCCTTATGAATAAAGATTGGCATTTTCTATGGTTTTATACTTTATATATACTTTAACATTGCCCTTAACCTGGCTTCTTTATCCATAAAGTAGGATAATCAGAACTGATTACTTGTTTGTTTGCTTGATTTTTTTTAACTGAATGCGCTAATATATATTGAAATATTCAGTAAAGCGTAGCCCAATCAAATGTAAATTGTTGCTAATATTTTCCTATTCTAAACAAATTGCTTAAGAGTTGTTTTTGAATAGTAGGTTGTTATTTAAAAGTGTTCACTTTACAACACTGTTGACCTACAGGTTAATGTTGACAAATTACCTATTTAGATCTTATCAAAAGGATATGGTAGTCTTGTCAATAATCAAATATATTTGACTATTATTTATGTTGAGGACACTGCGCTACATCCTGTCAGGGATAAAACGAACATACACTTCCTGTGCCCAGGGAGTTAGAGGCAAAGTGAAAAGTAAAACAACAAGACAAAAAGTATCCAGTACAGAATTGAGAATACTTTCCCATTCTATAAGAGTCCTGGGTGCCCAGGAAGGAAAGAGTCCTGCTGTGGTAGGAACTAGTTTCAAGAAGGAAGGGAGAACCTGGCCAGAACTTATAGATGGGTGGTGTTTTGCTGGGTGAGAGAACAATAGAGAATCTTTCAGGCAAAGGAAGTAGTGTGAAGCAAGGGGTGGAGGTGGAATGCATGTGACATTCCCCCAGGGGGCATGTCTTGAGACAAGTCTTGAGACCAAACTGTGGAGGCCATTGAGAACCAAGATGATGAGTTTGGATTTGATCTTATAAGAGGTATCGCTTAAAGTTTTTGAGCCAAAAGTGTCATGAGGAAAGGGGTCAAACATTTATTTAGGGAATAAAGTCTAAAGACAGGGAGATAAAGCAGGCAACGTTAGCTAGCAAGACTCCGGAGTCTAGCTGATGAGTGTCTGCATAATTTAGTGGCAGTAAGTGTTCACTAGAGCAATAATTACTGGTGACCTAGGATACATGGCAGTGCCTTTACTAAGAATATTCCCACACATTCATTAGAAAAGATTATGCTGTTTATGATATGGAATCCTGCATCTTCTGGGTCCAAGGTAATCAGTAAAAAGCAGGAATACCTTAATACTACTATTTCCTAGAAACAGGCCTCAGGACAGCATTGTTACAGGTCTCCATGTGTTTGACAGTGTGATTGCTGATATTCTGATCTGTCTAATTTTTCACGTTTCTAGGATGCTGACAGACAGCACCAAGAAGTAATTGCAATTTATCGGACACACCTCCTTAGTGCTGCACAGGTAAAGAATTTGTCCTTTGGAAAAAAGATCGTTTTAGAGAAAATATATATACTTTTTATTTTTAAGAAAATTTTGTTTAAATAGTTGTACCCGATGTGCTCCTTTAAAAATAATTGTGTTTCTTTTAATCATGGTTTGTTTTATCTCCCAGAGGAATATACAAAGCTATGGCTACACAGCATCTTAAATTTAGTCTTATCTCCATCTGCTTGACACTCATTTCACAGTTTGGCAACATCTGATAGTAGTGCACATTAATGGTGTTGCTGACTGGAGATATTGACTGTACATCCACCCGTAGCTGTCAGCTACGTGAGGAGCACAGAGAGGACTTCACTGTTTCTTGCTTGCTCAGGATCATTTTTTTAAAATGTCGAGAATACTATAATAGTACAAAAATGACAAGGTATATACAGAATTGTAATAATTTAAGAAAAAAAAATGGCTCTGTTAAGAGATTATTAATAATGTTTATTGAACTTTAAACTCAGTGAAGCAGAAGATTAAGAATTTTCTTTTGGGGTGGGGTATGAAGAATAAATTATTTTCTAACAAAAATAAATCACACTTAAATATTTAACATGTGAAAGATGCTGTACTTCATGTTCTTAGGGACCCTATGATAAACACCTCTAAAATTCTCAATAGATTTTTCAGGAAGACAGAGAGACAATGTTAGAGTGGCAGGTAAGCAATCATAGGAATTACTTAGAATTTGAAATGTCAGGCTACGCTGTTTGAAAAAAAAGTTAAGTATTGAGCAAAAACTAAGCTCTAGTTAAAATTATTAAAAGGAATACATTTTGACATTAAATTCTTAAAATCAAAATGCCTGCCTTTTCTTTAAACGATGAAGGGAAAACCAGTGGAAAAGAATGGTATTATAAGGAATCTCTAGCTCCTTTCTTTAGAGTAGAGAGAAATTAAACTGGGATTTGAAAGTACATTACAATTACTAGAGAAGATTGTCGACTGACAGCAGAGTGGGAGGTTCCGAAGGGCAAATAGTAAAAAAGTGTAGAAGATCTGTATTAGAGAGGATGAATGACTCCCTCAGATCTGACACAGGCCAACGAAGGAAATACACACTTGCCAAAAGACATTGCAAACTAACAAACCTTTCAACTTTGTATAGTGTATGCTTCTAAAATGTGAAATTATTTTCTACTGACTCCTAATGAAAAATGAGCAATTGGCATCTGAAATAGTCTTGCCTTCTGTCATCATAAAGTTGAAAAATTCAGTTTAGAATGGAAGAAGATGTTTGCACATCATACATCTGACAAGGAAGTGGTAATTGAGATTTATAAAGAACTCCTAAAACTCAACAAGAAGAAAATAAGTAACCCAATCAAAATATGGGCAGAACAGCTAAATAGACATTGGGCCAAAGAAGACAGAGATATGTGAGAATAACCCAGATCAAAAAGACCAGAAACAAGTGTTGGCAAAAATGTGAAACAAAAGGAATCCTCATCCTCTGTTGTTGGGAATGCAGACTGGTCTAGCCCTTAAGGAAAACAGTGTGGAGCTTTCTCAAATTTTTAAGAATAGATCTACTGTATGATCCAGCAATTCTGCTTCTAGGTGTCTACCCAAAGAATGCAAAAGCACTGATTTGAAGCAGTTATGCACTCTTATGTTTATTGTGGTGCTATTTGCAATAACCAAGTTATGGAAACAACCTAAGTGCTCATGGACAGCTGAGCACTTTAAGAAGATGTGGTATACTTGCACAGTAGAACATTACTCAGCAATGAACCAAGATGAAATCTTGCCATTTGTGACAACATGGATGGAGCTGGAGGGATAGTGCTAAGGGAAATAAGTCAGAAGGAAAAAGACAAATACTGTGTGTTTTCACTTATATGTGAAATATAAAGAAGACAGCGAAAGTGATCAAATCAAAAGCAAACCCTAGAAATCTGATTATAAAACTGATTCTACCAGAGGGGGAGAGGGACTGTAGACATGAAAAAAGAGGGGGAGGCAGAACAGACTCTGGTGGAGAACTGCAGTGCCTTGGTGGAGGGTGTAGTGTGCTAGCATGCATCTGAAGAGGTGGTTCCATAGAACCAGCTCTGTTGCTTTGCATTCAGTCTCTCTTTCCAGCAATCTTTTCACATTTCAAGTGTTTCTTTTTTAAGTATTAATGATTAACATTCATGTAAAAAGATCTCAACTTGACCAGCAATGGGAGATATGCATGTAAATAAGGAAGCACCGTTTTCACGGACAGAATTGGCAAATACTAAACAAGATTAAAAATTGAACCTAGTTTTTGACCCAGTAATTTCTTCTCTAGGAATCTGCCCACAAAAATTAGAAACATCTTACACACCCATCATTGGGGAAAGGGGTGAAGAAGCTATGAGACAGCCACACAATGGAAAATTATAGAGTAATTTAAAGTAGTTAGGGTAATAACTTGGAAAAGATTTTGATGACACAAGGTGAAAAATACTCACTTGTAAAATAATACATATGACCTTATTTATGTTAAAAAAAATAGGGATTTTTTTTCTCTAATTACTTTTCTAATTAAAAAAAAGGGTCCTCCCTTGGTGGCATAGGCAGTTGAGCGCAGCACTCTGCAGCGCGGGTTCAATTCCCAGCTGACCAGGGAGATACCCACATGGCACGGCAGACCTCTCCTGTCTTGCCTGCTGCTCCCCTCAGCAGTGTATTTCAGTCAGTCTGCCTGTTCTGTTCCCTACTCTGTCTCTGATGAGTTCTCTCACCCCCTGCATCTCTGGCCTGTACCCCAGCTCTTGTATGCATGAATAAAATAAATCTTTAAAAACAAACAAACAAACAAATAAATAAATAAATAAACAAACAAACAACTTAGCAGGAACCAAAAAAGATTTTACTTGGTTTGTTTTGCTTGTTGATAATTTATGCTGCCCCTATCATCTGAGCTGTTACATAAAAAGAGAAGGAGAAGTTTGTCCATCTGTTTTCTGATAATAGATGTTCAGAGCAACTGGTGTGCACTAGCTTAAAATTGACTGTATTTCCATGATAGGACCTTACTCCTTTTTCTAACACATTCTTTAGAGCATCACCAAGGTGGTGGGGATTTACCATTGAGGGAATCGCAACCTGTTGTGCCCTACAACAAAGCCTTTGTCTTTAGGATTCCTGTGTAGATGAAGATGACACAGTCTCTCCCCTTTCTGCTTTCTATCAAGGGCCACATGGATGAAGATGTGCAGGCGGCCTTGCTCCAGATCATACAAATGCGGCAGGGGCTTGTGTGCTAGCAGCAGCCCCGCCTGGCGACGTCTGCCTTCCCTGATGGTGCTGAGAGTTCTGTATGCGGCTTCGTGGCCTACTGGGCTACTCCAAGTGAAATAAAATGCATTTTGTCCAATTAGTAGGTTTTTTAAATTAGTTGAGTATGTGACTGAGTTTTTTACTAACAGTTCAAATCTCATATTCTAGATATGTTACATTTGTAGGTAGGCAAAAAAAGAGCATTTTGCCTTGGATTGACTACGTATTTTTGAACCATCGAGTCCCTGATAAAACAAGCCATCTGAGAGCATCCCTAAATTGAAATCATTTTTTAGGCATTTTTTTCAGAGAAATTAATTTGGTGCATGGCCACTTTCAAGTGGATCAAAAGATCTTTCAGATCTTCCCTCGAGCCATGAAACCTAATGTGATTTCAAGGAATGCACTGAACTTGGCTTGCCAAGTGGCATTCTTACTGAAGTAACTTAATGAGTGTTTTTGACTTCTTTTGGAGGTACAGATCTTTTTCTTCTTATGCTAGTAACTTTTGCAGTGCTACGTTACATTTAGGAATAGGCAGGGGTAGAATATGTCAGGAATTTATAATAAAGTTGCCTCATACTTTCCACAACGTTATCTGAACTTTCACTTGTGGTGACTTTTCTTGCCACAGTGTTAGAGAACCATGGTAAATGGTATACTAGATTTTTCAAAGTGTCAAAATTTTACACTCTTTCTTAGCAATTACCCTGACATTTGCTACTATAGTAACCAAGCACTCATTATACATGCATTCTCCAAATGTTTCATACTTATTTATAGGAAAGTTGTACTAATGAGATTAATAATGTGAAATTCCATTTTCTTACACAATTATCATTTGAGAATTGATTTTAGAAAACATCTTTAGGGTTTTAGACAAAAGTGCAATAATATAGCCATCTGTAAGACTATAGATAGCAAAACATAATAAAGTTGGACATGTTTATAGTAAATACTCCAGTGTAACCAACCATTTTTATTAACTACATCTCATTAAGGGAAAGTATGTTTTGTTAATTTTATTAATACCTTGTTTACTCTTCAGATTGAAAATTATGAATTTGATAGCTAGCAAATCAATTGAACAATTGAGTCATTTTTGCCAACTTATTTTTAAATTACAAAATATGCCTTAATAATAATCTTTGAACATCGTGAACCAGACTTTTGATCTCATTTTTGTATAATAACAAGGTCAAAGGACTGTCAAAATAGCTCCTCCCACCAAGGAATAAGATGTCATATATTTTTTTTTTCAGTGTGGAAACAACAGTGAAAAGTCAGAACTGGATTTATTTTTCATTCTTAGGTGGCTGTACACAGCCTACATAAGCAATATTTGGATTCTTTAATTTATATATTTAATGTTGTCCTACGGCGTGGGTTCTGATTCATTGAAACTCTGAAGTAGAGCAGAGTTCTGAACTGAATAGTCACATGTCAGTGTTGAATTTACCTTATTATGAGTGGGAAGAGAAACTTATATGTATTTTACTTTTTGTGTTAAGCCATCAATAAAATACCAATTTCTATTGAATATTATTTTGAATAACCTTGTAAATGATTTCCAAGGTAAGCTAGTCTGTTTACTGTCTTTGGAGAGTGTGGTGTAGAGTGTTGCAGTGGCAACACTTGTTTTGGTCAGCTATGGAGAGTGAAATACCAGGTGGCCAACTTCAATTTATTCCATTGTCTTATTCGCTCACCTTTTGATATCCTAGGCACAGACTGCTTTCATAACACTGAAGGTGAAAACTTTTTAGATAGTCAACAAGTAGAAGATGTAGAATGGACGATGCTGGTCTCTCTGCTCTTCTATATTCAGAAGAACGATGAGATCTGAATTTCTGGCCCAGAGGAATGAAGATGGGCTGTTGTCTGAGATGTGCGTGCTCTCTGAAAGGATCGCTGAATTCCTGTAGGAGTGTGCTTTTTTGTTGAAAGCTTTACCACTAACTTGTAGTTAGTTTTGTTCTTCTCACTCCTGCCTCATCAGAAAAGCTCCTTCAGTGTTATAAAGAACTATTAAAATACAATCAAAAAATCATTCAATGAGCATCTTTAAAATTACTACTATAGTGACTATAATCACTAGCAATACCTGCACTGCTCTAGACTCCCCGATGAATTTCGCTTTTGGCTTCCTGTTTATTCAAAACTTTTTCTCTTGTCCTTAACTAGTGTTGCGCAGTTTTAAATCTGCTCTTATTCTAAATGCATTGAGTCACTGCTGCTTTAAAAACCATGCAGCTTTAGAACACAGGCACCTTTCCCCCTGGTGGCCCCCCTAGCTTTCCTCTAAAAAGGACCTAAAAATTGTCCTCACACACATGCTTTTTGACTCATGTTTTCAGCTTACTTGTTTCAGAGTAGAAGAGCTTCAAATGAATTTTTGGCTTCCACAGTGACTCATTGTATCCATGCCCACTTACACCTTTGCCAAACATTACATAGCAGTGGTTACAAGTTTCTCTGACATCCACTTCGCCATGGTGGAAGAAAACGATTTCTTACTGTCTTTTTATTTTCCACATCACTGGATTCTGCAATCTTGAGGTGATATTTTTTTCTTCTTGCAAGTTCTGTGCATCAAAGTAATGGCAGTACCTCTGGCACCAAATAAAGATAAAAAGAGGATTCTTGTGATGAGCATGCAAAATATGGTTGCACATGTCTGGCGGAGAAAAAAGAACCTGGACCTTACTCCTGGCTGCTAAGTGCTGTGAATAATTTTCAGAGGGGAAAAAACAATTACGAATAATTTTCAGAATAGAGAAAAACAAATGGTACCATAAAATACACTGTGCACAAAATGCAAAATATAAGACAGGTGTTTCAGCTCTTCTTTTATTCAGTGACGTCCCTGACTGCACTGGGCCTGAGACTTTATTCTTGGAAATGTTAGTTCTCCGTGTTTTGACTTCGGCTGCTTGAAACAAGACTCCAGAGCAGCCTTTCCAGCTTAATGTGAACGTGCTTCTTAGTGTGGTTTGCTTGTTACCGCATCTGTGGGCCTTTGGCTCATGAACATCATGAATGTAGAAATTTAAAAGAAAAAAGGTGAAGCTGCAGCGGAGATGGCATTCCAGGAAGACTCCCCGGGCGGCGAGAATGCTTGTGTTTAGCATAATTGGGCATGTGGCATCACTTATGCATTAGAGGGCATTTTCATTATTTATGCCTGCACGAACAAACACTGATGATGAATGAATTCAACCAAAAAGGGAAGGTTACAAAAATGTCATATGTAAATGAAAAAGACTTGTGAGGGTTGCTTCCTTGAGGGTGCGTGTGTGTGTGTGTGTGTGTATGTACAAGCACACACACATATATGTACACACTCCAGGGAAATAATAGAAAAATCAATAAAAATAATGCTTCTTAGAATCAATATTTGGAATCAAATTGTACTTAAACGGTCTGACTTTTATATTTTCAACAGGTTTGCATTCTTTTTTTTTCTCCAAAATCACAGTCCTGGGAATATTTCGAATTCAGGCAAGAGTTTAGAGAGGTTATTGCCTTCTTAATAATTTAGAGCTTCTATTGCTCTGCCAAGTCAGAAGATTAACATTTAATAGAAAAAAATTATATATCTATCATTCAGTCACGGCTATTAGATCAGATGGATTTTACATTAAGTGAAAAAGATGTCGAGCATTTAAGGACCATTAAACTACAGGGCTCTCTTACTGGGTTTTAAGGCCTCTGAGCTTGGGTCCTGCTGCGAAGAGTATTTATTTTACATATACAGAACACATTAAGGATGGGGAAAGGGCATGCATTTTAAAAGAAAATAGGCCATGAAAAAGTGTGATTTTCCACATTGTGAACAGCTACCGTACAGATTTCATCTTATTTTATAATAATTAGTTTTATGCATCATTAAATAGCTTTCTTACAGGCTAGAAGAAGATGCAAAGGCCACTTTAAAAGTGGCACCTGCAGGAAATCCAAGCATCTGTGTACCCTCTGTTGATATTTCACTTGGAGAAGCCACATTTCTGATGCTTTGCAGGTTGCTCTATATTGTAAGGAACTTAAGTTTGAAAATACCTTCTCCATTGATCCTGATGGACTGTATTTGGTGGGGGTGAGAGACCCAGAGAGGAGAGGTTACTTTTAACAAGTATCTGCTTTTTCCTAGTGATGCCCAAATTATCAAAGAAGGACTCGAGTTCCACTTTGAGAAGAATCACTCACCTACAGGGAGAAGGTCCGCACTGTTCTTTTTGGCCCTTTTATTAAGCTGTCACACACTACCTGGTCGTGATTAAAACATGACAAGTAACGTCTGAATTCAGATACACTTTTTACTATTTACACCATCCCTCCTGTCCCATCCCCATCTCCAAAAAGAAGTTTTATGTAGCAGTATGGAAATCAAATAGATTCAGGAAGGATGTGGGAATGGAGTTAACATAATTTGTGACTATTTTTTTTCTACAATGTCCAAACAAATTTTATGATTTTTATGTCTTGCAATTTTAGGCTTTTTAAAAATTGCCTCTGACTAAAGTGACACCTTATGGGCTGCTTCAGAAAATTCTCTTCAGGATTGAGAATTGAGGCTGATTCATATTCAGAGTCTTACTGCTAAAATCTGTTAAGCCAAAATAAAAATGACTGCTACTTAAAATTTTTTCCTCTTTGTTTTTGCTCCAAATATTGTCTCTTTCACAGCAGTTGCAAGGTCCCATTTATGCAAATTGAAATCTTCTTTGTACAATCAGAGAGATGAACTGCCACAAGGCTGTCCGCACAAGTCCTAAAGACTGACATGTCCCCACCTCCATCTAATAATGGGGAGCTGCTTCCTTGACTTGGAAACTTTCAGTTGTTCAGTTGGCCCTGATCCCTAAGCTGTATAGCTCCTTGACAGCCGTCTTTATCCGCTCACACCAGTTGATGCATTAAGAATTCCCCTAGTTACTGTTGATCTAAGTAAATAAGTCTGTTAGAGCTGAATGCGTTTAAGAGGATTTCCAATCTGTGATTATCCAAAGTACTATTAATTGTCAATATTTTGGGTGCGCCATAGACAATCTTGTTATGTTGTACACAGCCACTAATGGCAACAAAGCCCAAATTCATGTTAGTAATTGGGGTAACCTGAAGGAGGGCTCTTCTCTACCTGTGTTTCTAGCACAGCTTGTGGTAGGGTTATGAACATCAAAACGAATTCCTTAATAAACTCTTGCTCTCCTTCCAGACCCTTTTGGGCAATCTCATCCTCCATGTTCTCTAAGTAAAGAGCAGTTACCAGGACAACTGAGAATTTGAGGCAGATTTAATTGTGATCTGATATCTCGCCAGAATAAAGAGCTAGTGCTTTGAATTTACATTCTAGGTTCCCAAGCAAATGTCAATATACATATTATTTTTGCCCTATCTCATTACAAAAATAATTTTAAGGCGGCTAGCATTTCCCCCCCTTATATGAGAAGAGAAGAGGGATGATAAATACCAAAATGACAAGAAAAACAAGCAGCAACTTGGGTACCAGAAAACATTAAAAAGCTTTGCCAGTTGCTCTATAGTGTAAGGAACTTAAGTTTGAAAATAGCTTCTCCATTGATTCTTATGAACTGTGGGGTTGGGGGGGGGGGAAGAAAAAGATCCAGAGAGGAAAGGTTACTTTTAACAAATATCCTGCTTACTTTTCCAGAGCTGTTCTAATTTGACTCAGCTGCCTAGAAACCAATGCAAGGAAGAGAAAGAACATCACATAGGTGAGGTCCAGCATCCATTAGGGAGAGCTGCTATTCTTGGTTCTGAGATGGCCATGGTGATGGAATGACCCTCTGTCTTTTTTTTTTTTTAAGATTTATTTATTTATGCATACAAGAGCTGGGGTACAGAGATGCGGGGGTGAGAGGATTCACCAGAGACAGAATAGGGAGCAGAACAGGCAGACTGACTGAAATACACTGCTGAGGGGGCGAGACAGGAGAGGTCAGCTGCGCCATGTGGATCACCTCCCTGCCTGGAGATCAAGCTCATGCTGCTGTGGCTGCAGATAGTTTCATAGTGCTGAGACTTAATCCCTGGCACCACCAGGAAGGCCCACAGTCCTGTGTCTTGATTTCAGTGGAGATCATATAGTTATTTAGGAGCAACAGTAACAACAGCCTCTAAGCCAGTGAAGGATGCTCCTAGCCAACTAGATGTAAAGGTGGTGCTCCCCAGGCTCCACCTCCTAACTTCCTGAACAAGGGCCACTCGCTTTTTTGATGGGCTCCTGCCTGCACCCTGGCCCCTGCTCAGTGAACACTGTCTGTGGGTAGGAAAGACAGCACCTGGTCATGGGCAGGTGAATACATTTTCTTTGCCGTCTCCCTCTTAGCTCTACCTTTCCTTAATCCATATGTAAATTAATCCTTTTCAATCTTCTTGTTCTTTTTTCTCTCTGTGTATCTGCTTTGGGGTCCTGTCCTCTATTCTTCATCCCCTTTTCTCCTGGGCTTGTACTTAACTGTTGTGTGAAACTACACATGTGCTAATATGACTTAGAATTGTACCTTCGCATGGTGCCAATACCAAGTGCCTAGTTTTGATGCTTAACCATATTTTTGTAAAGTGTAACCTTGAGGGAAACTAAGGTAAACTCTGAGATATTGGTATTCCTGGCTATGCCACTTAACTGTTACGAAAGACCTGTGTTAGTACCTATATTTGATGACTGAATGATCCAAAAATGATTTTTCCTTTCATGAAAAAGGGTGAAAAGCACAAACAGTGTCCAGCATTTGTTTTGTAGCAGCCTTTTAGAGATATCATGTGCCCTAAGCAGAGAGAGTGGCCCCCCGAGCTCCTCCCAAGGGAGCTATTCATACCTGCTTTTTCTGTATGTTAGTGTGATTTTAAGTGCATGTGTTACTTGGTCTGATTTAGTAGGTTATATCAGGTGTTGAGAAACACTCAAAAATTTTCCATGTATATTCATGGTAATTGTTTCTTCACTTTATGCCATTTTATTTTTTAAAAAGATTTATTTATAAATAAAAGAACTGGGATAAAGGTGTGGGGGTGAGAGGATTCACCAGAGACAGAGTGGGGAGCAGAACAGGCAGACTGACTGAAACACACTGCTGAGGGGAGCAGCGGGCGAGACAGGAGAGGTCTGCTGCGCCATGTGTGTACCTCCCTGGCAGGAGATTGAACTCTTGTTACAGTGGCTGCGGAAGCTTCATAGGTTGTGTTTTTACCCCTTGCACCACCAGGGAGGCCCTTTATGCCATTTTAGCTTAGAAAATAGTTTCATAGGAATGCTCTACTTGCAGAAAGTGGTGGAAACTTGTATCTTTAAAATGTTTGATAATCCTATAATTATTTCAAACTGGGAAACTATAAATTCACCAAGTTCTTCAGAAAAATAAGTTATGATTTCCACACACACAATGTAAAAGGATTTATATTAAGAAATTAGGGGTAATGTTCTCATAACACACCTAAACTTGGGCTGTGAAGTTGGCTTTGAGCTTCCTAAAGGCAGAAGAATATCATGAATCTGCTGGTGTTTTCTGTATTTACTCATGAGACATTTCTCTAATCCAGAAAGCTGTACCTTTAAAACATGAGTGAATCAAAGAGTTCCTGCTGTTCTTTTTTGTGTTACATTGAAAACTTTGAGCAGTCCTTTTTCTTGTGCATTCTGTGTTTTCAAGAGCTTGGTCTCTCCAGTTTATGCCCTGGCTGTGACGGTCAGCAGGAAAAGCTAGGAACCATGTGGGAAAACTAGCACAGTAGAATTTCCAAAGAGCAAAGCTTTCTGAGATTCTAAAATGGCAACGGTAGAAGATCTTAATGTCTTATGGAGAAAAATTAACTTTAAATCAAGTGAGGGATGTCTTTAGAGATTAGTGAGCTCACTCAAATATGGGGACTCGCTCGCTGGACACTGTGTGTATTATCAGACTAGATAACATCTATAGACCCTTCTAGTACATATTTAATGATGATAATTCATAGTTTCATGCAGATGCAAACTAGGCCTGGTTCTGGTTCCTAGGTATGCTCCTGATTACTGGCATGGCCATGGATAAATAACTTAACTCTGGTATCTAGACTTGAATGGAAAGAGAGATTCTTTGATCACTGCAAAACTACTTCTTAGCACAAAAGATTAATGAATTTGTATTCCTGGCATTTTGGGCCAGGTTTGCCCTGGCAAGTGGATCAATCATATTCTTATTATTTTCTTTGAATTAGGATTTTGCAGTTGCTTTTTCTGACACTAAATTTGAGATGTATGTGTGTTACCTTGCATGGCCATGAATCCCTCATTTCTGGTGTTATACAGTCAGTTCTAGTTTATGTACTTTAACAAAGAGAGCAAATAATATAAGGGAGAGTCAAGCAGCTATGGATATAAGAGCTCTCTCCTAT